CTGTGGTAGAGGAGGAGGATCAACATACCTGGGGGTGGGGAGTCTGTGCTACAGAACAAAGCCTTAGCATTGGAAATTCTGTTTTAAAGTATAAAAAAAAATCTGCAGTTGACAAAGTAATCACTGATTTAGTGGTGCCCAGTGAACAAACCTTTCCCTCTGTAATTATACATGACTATAACAGCCAGTTCTTTGTGAAAATACAAAAATGCTTTTAAAAAGCTGGTATGATGGAAAACAAAAGCACCGAGCTTTGAGATGGGTCAGGGTGATGGCGTAGGTCCTCTACTGTCAGATTAATAAACTCTATCTCAGCTGTGTTTCAAGTAATTTAGAATGTTGAATCTCCCACCTGGAGAATGAACAGTGTTGAAACTGTGCCTGTTGCAACGTCGCATCCGGGCATAAAATCAGATATGTGAGGATAAGCCCCCCCACCCCACCCCTGCATGGCGCTACACTGAGAGCATGGAAAGCAACATGAAAAGTAGGTGTGTTAAAGCTAAACTAACTATGTCCAAGTTGGCTACATTTGAAAAAAATTAAGCACCAAAAATAGGAAAATTGTCTGAAATCTTCACTTGAAGTCTCCGGTCTCTTTCCTATTCAGGATCAGACTCTGGTTCATATATCTTTTTATTCTGTTCTGTCTTTCCAGCTGCAGCCATTATGCAGGGTGAAGATTGACCGCAGGACTACTTGTATTATTCATTAGGTCTTATTCTGATTGGCTGGGATGAAGGGGAGCCAGCCAATCAGAGCAGGTCCTCATGAATAATGTACATTTTATGTTAATAACACCTGAAACAGCCTGCTAGAGGGCAGAGGGGAGTGTGGGCTGTTTGTACAGATGGTTGAGAGAAATCTAAACAACTCTGGGTGAATACAATTTTTACGTGTGTGTGTGTGTAAAATACACCCAATATTTCCAAAAATCTAAAAAGGCCATAATGCCAGCTCCTTGAGAAATGTTTTTCTCAAGTAGAAGTTACAGTCGAGATATTTCAGTTCAATCTACACTTATCCTGTAAAATAAATTGCTTATTTCATTTCAAAGTAGATCATGGCCACCCAGTGACGCTTGTTTGTACTCAGTAGCTACATGAATGATCATCAAGTGGTGCAGCACAGTGAGCTGTCTGAACCAGACAGGTTGACAAGCTGGAGTGAGCTTTAACCAGCCTGGACCTGTGTATAGCTTTCAGCCTCTCCACTCCTGCTGGGAGAGGCACACTGGAAGTGAGAGAGAAGTGTTATATACTGGATTTAAATAAGACAGTGTTGATGATTTTGTCCTGACTACTTGATAGTGGATGCTAATCATTCTACAGACCTACCTACAAGGGTTATTACATTTTGAAGAAGGTAGATTAGTTGTGCATCTCCTAACTTCTCCTAAGCTATTTTTAATTACTAGGCAGAAATAGATTTTTCACTTGTATCATTTTTAATTCAGCTCTGCGTCTTTACTGAGTTCAGTAGCACAGCTTCTCTAGATATAAGGTTTTTATTCTGCTCAGAAAAGTGAAGAATTAAGATTTAAGCTCCACTGCCCTGCCTGCTTTGCATCTGTCTCTAGAGGCTTTTACTTTCACTGAACCCTCAGTAAACAGGATTTTTCACATTTTCTGCAGCTCAGCTCCACCGAGCTGCCATATCCTTACTACTTTTACTACAGTGGACGTCTCTGAAGTAGTGAGAGCAAGATTTAGATGGAGATGCGAAAGTAAGCACAGGATGCGAGTAAGTCCAGTGGCAGCAGTTTCCTTGAGCACTGATTCCAGCAGTGCACCTTTTACCAGAGCTGGGAAAAAAAGTGCTTAAAAATATTGCTGCAGACCTGCACCGTTTAGCAGTTTGCTTCAGAGAAAGTAAATATTTTGTAACCAGGCTTGCTTTTCTTTGGTAGTGCTGGCTCACTGTTTTCCCAGTACATTTGTTTCCAGGGCCTGATTGTAACAAATTTTGGCCTTTTAATTTGGCTAGTTCTGAAACCACACATGGCAAATCCCAAGCTTCACCCACTCTCTTTTTCCACCCACCACACTTTTGTACCAAACGCTGACCCAGTGGTGTGTGACGCAAACTTGTAAGGAGGAAAGGGTTGGCAGCCAGCTGTGGTGGTGGCAGTTCCTGGAATGAAACGGCAATGAAAGACCCTGTTCTTTTCTGTTCCCCTCAGTGGGCTGCCCTCCCTCCAGGCTTATGAGTGCAGTACACTGAGAGTGTGTCTGTGTAGGGGATGGGGAGCACCATCCTGCTGTCGTGGAGTCTTCCAAGGACAACATTACAACCGTAGTGGGATTGTGTGACCTGTGTGTTTGTTTTCTTCCTCGGAGAAGGAAATCTCTCCTTTCCTCCTTCTTGTCTGTGCCCAACACACCCAACACTTTTTCTTCACTGAACATCTCATCTGTGTGAGGGGAAAGCAGGGACCCAGTACTCTTGGGACTAAAGAAGAGGGCAGCTGCTGCTAGGTGCTCAATGCCAACCAAGCTAGCACACACAAATCACTGTATTAGTGGCAGGTTTTTCCCCTCTAAACCACAGTGTAACCGCCAAAAACCCTTTTATATGCATGAGATCTCTCAGAAATAGTTGAGGACCATATGCTTTTTGTACAATTGAATGGAAATTTTATGTTTATTAGAGGATACCCACTCAATTGATGTCACACTTCTACAAACTTTATTTTCTTCTTGCATTTTAACATCTTAGGACCATGTTGGAGAGTAGTGCTTCTCTTTAAACATATTATGTGAATACTTTCACTGCCTTGTAAATCTGCAAATTTATAAATCAGCATTATCCTCAACATCATCTTAACAGCCATTGTTTATCTTTTATTTTTGTTAATTATGTATGATGGTATAGTACACCAGCTTGGAGTGCTTACTTTACCTCTTAAAGCCTATTCAGTGTTCTTGTATTCTTTCATTTTTCTGTTTGCTTGTGTAGCTGAAATACAACTTATTTTTTCTTGGAACGATTGAGCAATCCAGGTTTCAAGGTGGAGGTGGAGTTGAAGGGAAAAATTAGAAGAATATTAGTTGAAAACATCAGTGTCAGACTGGTTGGAGGCCAAAGCACCAGATGAATCTCCAGTGGCCCTGCCAGAAATATTGCAACACGCTTGACCTGACATTTAGATTCCTTCCCAAAAAGGTGGCGTCCTGATGGCAGTGGAACTGAAGAGAGTATTTCTTTGTCCACACCTCTCATCTGAACCCAAAGAGGTCACATCTGTTTTTATTCTGTTTTTCTATCTTTCCCTGCCATTTCTCAGCTCACTGGCTACAGTGAGAAGCCCGTCAACCTGCAGATGTTCATCGGAACAGCAGATGACCGTTATTTGAGGCCGCACGCTTTCTACCAGGTGCACCGGATCACCGGGAAAACTGTAGCCACGGCCAGCCAAGAAATTATGGTCTCCAGCACCAAAGTTCTTGAAATTCCTCTCCTGCCCGAAAACAACATGTCAGCCAGGTCAGTATCAGAAGCACTTCAGGGTTATGTTACTCAGTTATGAGCTTACCACCATGAATTAAGCCATCTCCAGATGGCAGAAGAGCCATGTTTATGATCATACAGGGTTGTAACATGTTCCAAAGGGGTTTTTATAGGTTTTCTTTATTTAAGCTAACAGGAGAGTTCGGCACAGGGTGAAGGGTTTCTCATAAAGCAGAGAAACCAGCTTTATTTGAATATTTATGATCCTGCATTACCCAGATGATTCTATTTTTACAAGGTCATTTACAGGGGTATTCACATGAAAGGATTTGGTAGGGATTTCCTTATTTACCATTGCAATAAATCATATCCAAGGGCATTTTTAAGTTGTGATTCAACACTTTGCCTCTTGCTGCCAGTCCTTTTTTGGGGCTTGTGGTTGGTTTTATTATACCCAGGCCTTCAATACTTGACTGCCATCTCTGTGGTACTGTATGAGGCCAACTATTTTTCCGCTACCCTGCAGTATCGACTGTGCTGGCATCCTTAAGCTGCGGAACTCGGATATTGAGCTGCGTAAGGGAGAGACAGATATAGGAAGAAAGAACACAAGGGTCCGTGTGGTGTTCAGAGTGCACATCCCTCAGCCCAACGGGAAGGTGCTGTCGCTGCAGGCTGCCTCCATTCCCGTGGAATGCTGTAAGTGTCAACTTCCCAGCCCGAGGCTCACACGCGCACACACACACACACACACACACACACACACACTCCTGCACACACCCAAACGTATTCATTCAGAAAACTATGCAAGGAAAACACATTAATCAAGGACACACAAACCTTTGCACACACTTCATTAGAAAGCTTGCAGTCATGTGATTTTAGGATATTGATTTAATCCACTGTTTGCTCTCAATGAAAGTCCCTTTAGCAAAGAGTGTCTGATGAAAATTAAAACCCTAAATCCACTCAGTTCTATCTGTGCCCTACACACATTCAGAGTACATGCACATCCCTACACACACACACACACACAAGAAGAGTACAGTATGAATGATTCCTGCGCGATACCTCTGCAATAAATACTTTACTTTAAATACTAAATACCTTTTTGTTGAGGCACAGAAAGAGAAAGAAAGGTCAGAATGGTGTTGGTACACATCTGAGTTAATTTTTGAGGCTATATTTTTTTGATATTACATTATTATTATACATGATATTATAAGGTGTCCCTGTTAATTTGTCCGTTTGTATTGTAGCACATCCACACAAAAATAGATTGCAGTGTGAATGAACACAAGTTGGTAGATAGTCATCCTCTTTTATCCTCGACCCTTCTCCTTTCCCAGCTCAGCGTTCAGCTCAAGAGCTGCCCCAGGTTGAGAAATCCAGCCTGACCAGCTGTCTGGTCAGCGGGGGAGAAGAGATGGCCATCACGGGCTCCAACTTCTTCCCAGAGTCCAAGGTCATCTTCCTGGAGAAAGGCCCTGGTGAGTTTTGGATAAACCTACCGTGACATCACCCATTGGTTTTCTGAAGAGCAGTTTTGAAGCTCAAGTCTGGCTGTTTTGGTAGTGCTACACTCTGCCTGCTACGGCTAATCCAAAAATGGGCAAAGAGGTGGAGCATGAGTGGAGCTGAGGCGGGCTGAATTAGGCTAGCCACCCTCTCGCTTGAGGCCAAAACCATTTTTTGTACCCGGCTGTAAACATGTTTATTTCTGCTGTAAAGTTGGTCATTTTAATATGGGAGTCTATGGGGATTGACTCCCTTTTGGAGCCAGCCTCAAGTGGCCATTTGGGAAACTGCAGCTTTTAACACTTCCGCATTGGCTTCAGTTCACAGCCTCAGAGGTTGCTGTTAAGGGGTGTGACAATTTCACAATATTAAAATGTGACGATATTTGTCATCGAGGTGAAAAGCTGTCTCGTGATATGGGTGCATAACAGAACCAGAGCAGCAACCAGCATGACGGAGTGTGAGGGTAAAATTAGCATAGAAGATGCCACCGCCACTGGATTATGTTCAATTTATAGAAAAGAGTTCACTTAGAACGTTACACATGGGTTGAATTAGAAGTTAGAAGCTCATGCATAGTTCATGCACAGTTCTATGGTCTGGAGAGACTCGTGTGAAATCCTGCAGGAGAGAAGCCGGTCAGTTGAGTTTGTGGGAAAGCCTTTTACAGTGTTGCATATTGTTATCTTATACTGCATATGATAATTCACACTCAGAAAGTAGAACTGAAGTGACATTCATTACAAGATTATTAGATAAAACATTTCAAAATGCACCTGCAGTGTTTTACATTTTGTGACAATAACAGTAAACTTAACATTTTGCATATTTTACACATGTTGCAGAAGTCATGATTTTACATGTTTATTCCTAAATAATTAGCAGCAGTATGTCTTTTTCTCTGCTCAGGGGGGGAAGATAAAAAAAAGATAAAATTGCTTTAAATGTTGATTTTACAGTAATGGTGCTCTTAAATATGGACTTTTTTGCAAGATATATCAGTAGTGAGCTCCAACATAATTGGAGGAAAATGTTATGTTGGAGCAGTGTGATGAAGAAATATAGAGAAGGAGGTTTGAAGCTTTATTTTGTAAGTAGCCAATCAAGCCTAGTTTCTTTGCATTTATTATCCATCCTTCCGTCCATTATCTATACCACTTATCCTGCAGAGGGTTGTGGGGGAGCTGGAGCCAATCCCAGCAGTCACTGGGTGAGAGGCAGGGTACACCTGGACAGGTCGCCAGTCCAGGGTGTACCTAGCACAAACCAGTGCACCACTCTGCTGCCCACATTCATCATACTGGAATGTCTAGATTTGTATTCATGTCGTCTTCCTTATTTCTGTTGAATTTAGATTCTCTCTCTTGTTTCTGGATTATAATCAGTGTTGTCACAAGAAAATAAAAAAAATGTAGAGAAAAATTAATTCTCACAAATCCATTGAAATTAGCCCTGAATTATTGTTTATGTACAGTATATGTGTGCTATATGCGTCTGTGTACACATTTACTGTATGACTGCTAGTAATATTGTCAGTCAAGTCAGTAGGAGACAATACACAACATATGTTTATACAGACTGATACAGACTCATTACAATTTTTTATTTCTTTTTTACAATATTAACACAAAATTGAACAAACTTTAATGTAACAAACACTACACTCTGCAGTTTGCTAATTTATTTTTGTATCAAGCTCAAGCCACAGCAGGAAAAAATTACACCAAAATAAAAAGTAAGAATTGTTGTTTATCATTTGATTACTTACTAAAATACTGTCATTAAGAAAATGAAAATGGCTTTGTGTTAATTCATTTTTGAGGCAATAAAACTAAAAGGTTATAGGAAAAAATACTGTATCTAGAAAATTCAGTATAAATAGTGAGGGTTGGCAGGAAAAACACACAGAGACAGGACAGGCACTATGGTCTTTAAATATAGGAATATCAAGATTAAACACACAAAATATATGAAATCTGTGTTTTGTCATGAATACAGCCATATTTTTTCTGACACTTTCTAGCAAATGTGCTGCAAAGAAAAGACCTGTGAATGGAAGCAGACTGAGCAGAGTATATGTGCTGCATTTACAGTAAGCACAGTTACTGGTGTTTGTTGTTGGGAAGCCAGTGAGGGGTCACTGTCACTGCACTGCCAAGTCCAACTGGTTTCTTGCACCACCTGTGAGGAGACAGTGGGAGCTAGGGGGTTAGGGTGAATGCAGAATTTGTACCTGTTCCTTAAAACCAGTATTTGTGATTTTAAAAGTTGCCTCCTTCGGTTGAACCAAATGCCTTGGCTGTTTAGTTGATTGTTTAGTTGAACTCCTTGGGCTCATTCTCTTTCCTTTTCTGCCTTATCTTTTCTCTCTCTTGTACATAGCTCTGTGATCACAGCATATGCCGTAGCTGTTGCCTGGGACGGACATTTTGAAAGGATAATATTTGTAATGCCAGTCTCTGCCTGCCCGAGGTACCTTTGTGATGTGGAGCAACAGAATCATGTTCACACATGGCAGGAAGTTGAGTGGGGATGTTTTTGTGATCGAGAGCTATTCTCTGAGGGGAAAAAAGCAAATCAGAGGAATGTCTTTCACCCTTTGAGGTGTACCAGGTGAAGCATGGCAAAGAAAAGTAGCATGGTCAAGTGGAAACCCTAGAGAAGGGCATCTAGGGTCAGGAGGAAAGCTGGGCCCCATGAGGGCAGTGGACTGTGGAAGAAGACAGAAGGAATATGAAACAGGAGGAGAAGATGATGTTGATTAGGTTTGTGTAAATGATCCCCTTCATCATGACTAATCTGCCTGCTTTAGTTCAGAAAAGCACTGATTGGAGTAAATATAGGAATGGAAGAAAAGAAAGAATGGGAGGCAATGACAGATATTTTTCCACCATCTCTTATAATTGAAAGACGTCAGTAGATCACTGAGGAACTGCAGAGCCTGGCCTGTTGTTGCTAGTACACAGAGATTATGGGATAGTACTATAACTGACTTCACTATACACAGAAGCATATCCTAGCATTGTTCATGTGAGATCTGATTTTTAAGAGGAATGTAAAAGGGTGGTTTAGGTTTGCTGTCTTTTGGTCCAGTAGACATGACTTTAGTCTGATTCTTGTGTTTTCCTACTTTAGTGTAACCTTCACTTGGGTCCTCTGTGTTTTTAAGTTTTTTGACACTACATAGTTCAGAGATGTTGTATCAGTTCTTATGACTTCACTTGAGTTCTTATGAGTTTACTTTTGTTTTAATTTATTTGAAGTAATATTTAGAGAATGAGAGTGTAAAAGGAACAGGACAGTGAAGACATAAAGGGAACGTGTGGAGGGAATTACTAGCTTTGTATTTACTGTATATATATAAACTAGATTCAGTTTTTTAGAAGGGGGTGCACTTACTGTACAGTGGGCATATACAGTATGTGTTTTTTACCCAAGGCCAAGAAACCATGTCATAGTTACGAGGCTTCATCAAACATTAAAGTTAAAGATAAGTCCATAATAGGTATAAGTATCTGAACTTTACAAGGATAAATGTTTATATTGGTGAGTGGACTTTAAAGGCTGTAACACTGACTGCCTTGAATAGTGACTAACACAGCCTGTGTACTCTGCAGTCACATTTGTTTCTATAGTAAAACTAAACAACATAATCGCCTTTCTTATTTCTGTTCGATCTCAGGGAACAGTGGGTGCACGTTCTTTTCCCGGCTGACTGGGGTGCGCAGGGTGTCTGGCTGATCAGAGTCGTTGTCTCTCAGTGTGGTATGAGGTTCCTGTTGGTGCTTGTTGCCTGACAGAGCATGTGGGGCCCTTGCTCCTGCCTGTTGAATGTCAACAAGCTGCACTGCAATAATGCACTGCTGTCAGCTGCAAAGACATTCAAGGTCATTTACTTGTTGGAAAAAATTCTCCCTGTCATCTACAAGTTAAGCTCTTCCTTTAGAACCGAGAGAAGGGTTATGACTGCTTAATGCGCCTGTGGATTACTACAACTAAGCCTAATGTTAGGGTGAGACCAGAATAGGTCCATCACCTACTTAAAGCTACAGTAAAGTGCAGAGAAAGCTGAATAGCCTAACTGTAACATGGCTTACAGTTAAGTTAGAATCTGCATATAGGCTCATCCTCTCTGCAGAGGTGTTGCAGATGCCTGACAGCGGTATTGGGGGAATCCTTCTGGTTTTGAGGAGGAGGCCATGCAGGTGCAGGGTGTACAAGTATCATGTGAGTACCATGAAGCAGGCGAATACAAATGAACGTGCCTCCACGGAGAGCCTATTCAATACTTAGTTGCCAGTGTTTTTATTCTTCTGCTGCGATGACTGTGATTTCTTCCAACCACATGGAAAGCCTGTCACTGTTTGCACCCCAACTGTTTCCCTTCAGGCAGCCACCCCTGACATGTCTGGCCAAATTCATAGGAAAACTGGAAAGGATGTTTTGTAGCCAGAATCCTGGCAGCATGCAAAAACATTTTAAAATAAATACAATTATTCCACTGCTCTCTCCATAATTTTAACCAGGCAAGACAAACAGCAGGATATTTGGACATTTGATTACTATTTAATAGCTGCTAAGATTTTCCTCTTGGGGTTTCTGGGCCTTCAAAAATGACAGCGTGTTGACATCTCTTACTTCTCCAGAGGAGATTGAAATAGGTTCTTTAGCACTGTCTGTTTGAGTAATCACTGTACACTAACCCCATCTTTACAAAAACAGAAAAAAAAGCAAAGAGAGCTGCTCCAGAGGAGGCTTTAAATAAATGTCACACTGAACTTCATAAGGAGCCTATATTAGAAAGCTGTGGTCAAATGATTATGTGTGGCCTGGAGTTCTTATTGCTTCTGAGTTCAACTCAGTTCAAATGACTGTTTCATTTTCTCATTACTGAAAAATTGTTTTATGTGTATTTTGAAAGTTAAGTTTTGAAATTGTATGTCTAAATAATTGAGGTTGCTGTATTTGTCCAAAAACTGGCAAGTGTGGTTTGTCGTATTCTCCATTATCACAAGTTTTTCCTATAGATTTTCTCATTTTCCTCCTTATTTAAAAGCCAGGCATCACTCTGTCTGTAGCCAAACATGCACTCAAGAATGGTTCGTCTTGTATTTTTAGTATGGTGGCTTGTCAGATCTAACAGTATTTCTCGTTATTTACAGTGGAAGCTTGGTTTTCGTGATTAATCTGTTCGAAAAAGTCAGACGAAAACTGAATGTACAAAAACTGAAGCAATATTTCCCATAAGAAATAATGTAAATCCAATTAATCCGTTCCAGACACCCAACAATATTAACAAAAAATACATTTTATAGAGAATAACTATATTTTTACATACAGAAAACAATGAGAAATAAATATAAATGACTAATGAAATGGATAAATGAACATTTAACATCACTTTTACCTTTATTGAAGACTCTTGTTGGCGTATGGAAGATGGCGAGGAGGGGAGAGGGAGGAGGAGAGGTTATTGTTTGGATGGGGAATCCCCCTCCATAAGAACTTCATGTATCAAGGCCCCATCTGGGGTTACTTCCCTTCACTCATTTCTTCCGAGAAATGAGTGGCCAAGTCACGCGGGCAGGCGGACGAGTTTGGTACGGACTAATGACGCTGAACCGACCAATCAACTGTACGAAAACCGAGCAGATGTACGAAAACTGGGACAAAATTTCGCTGAAAAAAGTCGTCGAAAACCGAATCGTACAGAAAGTAGAGCATACGAAAACCGAGGTTCCACTTTTTCTTTTTCTTTATTTAACTATACTTTTTTTTTTTTATTAACAATTCCTTCTAGATGGACGACCTCAATGGGAAGTAGAGGCAAAAATACTCCGTGAGAAAACTCAAGGAGTGAGTAGTCATTTATGTCCCCTTAGAATAATTCTACAGCTTTTTGTCTGTAGTATTTGTGGTTAAACGTGTATATATATGATGTATTTACATTTACTCATATTTGCATTTTAATGGCTTTAAATGGTCTTATGTTTGTCGTAGTCTTGCATTGTGGTGGAGGTTCCTCCCTACCACAGTAAGACCGTGGGCTCAGCTGTGCAGGTGCAGTTTTATGTCTGCAATGGCAAGCGAAAAAGGAGCCAATCACAACGCTTCACTTATCTTTCAGGTAAGATAAGAGCCTCTCATCAGTTTTAGAAGGAATTTTTCGATTTATTTTAAACTGCAAATGTAAAAATAAAATCTTGGAACAAAGCAATGTTTTACTCATTTAATGATGTTTTAGGTGCTGAGAATTAATTTCCCTGCAGCTCCTTGTATATAAAGAGATTCTCTTAATCTTTATTTTTATTCCTTTGTGTGTATTGTTTCCAAGTGAATGACAATACGTTTGACTGATGGCACAGACAGTTGTGACACCCTTGTCATGTTGCACACTTCTCCACAGGGGCTTCACTAACCCCATTTCTCGCCATCTCATTCCAAACAAAGCTTGGCTGTGGTTTACAGGGGCTCTTCCACTAACAATAACATTAACACCTGCCAGCTGCTTATTTGGTAAAGCCTCTTCAAGCTCCTAAGCACGCTTTTTCTTCCTTGTGTACTCGATTTGCATGGGCTTGTTATGATACAAGTCCTTTGCTGGGATGTGGTCTGATATAATTATTTAGCAAGAAGGAAACTCAGCATTTATTTTTTTATCTTAAACTTTCCTGTGTGATTTTTATTCAAGTCAAATTCCTGCCTTGCTATTTGATATTGTTATTGTGTTGTTTTTTTCTCTTGAAGTCAGTCAAACTGAAAATACCGTTGGCGGAATATAATGACATGTGAGCATTTTGTGCACCATATCCAAACCCTGAGTTTTACCGCAGCAGTGCGTTTGATTTGTGTGTGTGTGTGTGCGCGCGCATATGAGCGGCCTTTCCCCTCCACCAACCCAGGCTTTTAGTTTGCAAGCACGCCCACTCGACACAAGCAGTTCCTGTTTTCCCCGTTGACAGATTAAGGCAGCCAATCAAAGCAGCATAGAATAACCCTGCTCTGTCAGCCAGGCCGGGTCGCTCACACCACCAGTGTCACCACGGGCACCACCCGCTTTACTGTGGCAAAAAAAAAAAATTTACCAGTCAGTCATGTTTCATGTTTCACCGTGGGCTGGGCTGCAGAGCTCCTGGCCCAATTTAGGAATGAATTCTGAGAAGACTGTTTGGACAAAGCAACATGTTTACACTGAAAATTCTTTGCTTCTGCTTTTGTATTTTGAAATTGCTGCATTGTCAGGCAGCCATCAGAGAATTCTGTTTGTTAAACCTCACACAGTTACTCTTAGTTTTGAGGATATGTTATTGTAAAAAATATGGAAACACCCTTACTACCATTATGTATTAGTGTATTACCCTTCCCATACCCTCAGTATGCATCTGGCTGCATTTTCAGCCAGAGTAAACCCCATCTGACCTGCTTGTGCCTCTTGCCTCGCAGTCCCAGAGGCATGGCAGGATGAGAACAGGGCATGATCACTGAACTCGTTAGTTCTGTTGGTCTGATCTGGGCTGGGGGGCATTCAGCTTCTCTTCCCACACAACATTTTACATGATGGCACCCAGACTAACAACATATGCTCCCCCTCTGATTAAGAGCTGGATAAAAATAAAACTGACTGTCACAAGGCACCAGATTGGGAAATAGGTTACCGATAAGTGTAGCAGTGCTATGAGCTGTCACCGTAAAATGGCATGGCCCCGTTTATTTTCAGAATGTCACTCAGTTTTTTACAGGCTTTTTTGGTCTTGATTGAGACCCATTTCACAATCTGTACATTTTCAGAGACTTTGTGATTCTTATTGCTTTGTTTTTTAGGTTTTGCTCAACATAGTTCACCTCTAACAAACCAGACAGAAGGAATTATTACAGGGGTTGAGAATGTGGAAAAACTGAAATAACTTGAGCCTTTTTTTTAACTAGATGAAGTTTCTGAACTGCTGTATATGAAGCAGGAATAGCAGCCACACTGTCAATGTTGCAATGCAGTGACTTGTCAAATTTATATATTGTGTCTTTTCTTTCTCTTCTTGCAGTGTTTGATTGTTAGACCTAACTGACAGTGGTTTTTCTCTTTCATCCTGTCTCTCTTTCCTCTTTCATCATCTCTCTTCCTCTCTCTCTCTGCATGTGCCTGTCTCACTTTAGTCATGGTGAAACAGGAGCACAGAGATGAGCTGGACCTTCCTGCAGTACCCCCTATGTCCATGCCCCTGGCACATGCTGCCAGTCTGGTGCGCACCCAGCTGCCTTCTCCTGAACAGGGCCACCCGTCGGACAACCTTCTGTCCAGCTCCCCTCACGGCCTGGCCGCAGGCTCCGGACCTGGCCTGTTACCCCTGCAGGGCCCCAGCCCCGCACTGGGCTCCCCTTCTTTCCAGCACCTGCCTCACCTCCAGGGTCACAGTTTGCACCACCCCCCTGCAGACTGCCACATGACGTTCCGCCCGAGCTCTGTTCCTGCTCCTCCCCAGCCCCCCTACCAGCCTATGCAGCGCAGCCACAATCACAGTCATAACCTGTCCTTCAATGGCCAGACCAGCCTTCCCCCTCAAGGCTATGAGACGATGCCCTTTCAGCACAGTCCCACTGCAGCATCACACCCGATGGGCATGGGGATGGTGTACCCCTCCTCCCCTTGCTCCACGCCATCAGCGCCCTCCTCTTCAAGCACCAATCCCATTGCTGGTTCTCCCCAGAGCCAACAACCCCTGCTCAATCCCTCATCCCCACACATCCACACACTCGGAGGCTATCACTGCTCCCCCAATCCTCCCCAGGTTCCCTCTCCATCTGGTCACCCCCTTGTAGGGCAGCATTCCTCCCAGCTGCAGAGGGCCATGGGCTACCACCCGGTAAGTCAGAGGTCCGCTTCCTGCCCCACACCGTCCAGCGCCCCTCCGCCACGGATGATCCCCTCTCCACACTCTGGGCCTTCCTCCCCTCAGCTCCATTCGTTACCCTACCAGTCTCCCACCTCCTCCTCCTCCCCCACTTCAGGCAGCAGTCCTCTGGGGCCCCTGCAACAGCAGCCTTCCCCCCAGGCTACCAGCCCAGTAATGGCCAGCCTGTCCCCAGCAGCAGCCGGCCCTCTGGTTCATCCTCTAAGCCCTCAGGGGCCCTTCCCTTCGGATGGGGAGAGCCTGAACATCAAGCAGGAGCCGGAGGACAGGGAGCCCACCTTCCGCTCTATTGGCCTACAGGACATTACGCTCGACGATGGTAAGACTACTACAATTTTTATTTTATTTTTTTGTCTGTGGGTCAGTGTCCACTTGGTGTCTGTAACAAGCAGAAAAGTGCTGAGAGCCAATGAGAACAATAACATCGACCAGTTTAGAAGTACCCGCGTTGTCTGCTTTGGTCCATTAGTACATGAAAAGGGAGACAGAAAAGCCAGTATGCCAGTGAAAAGTTAAACATATTTTAACTCTGTGTGTAAACAAATGTCTGTCTCATTCCCCAGTCTTCTGTCATTCCAGCCGTTCTGCTCTCATTATCACATTTCCCTTCCTCGCCCTGTCCTTTTACACCACATATTTAGAGCACACCCATCTGCGATCAATCTCATTTTCAGTCTAAAACAAGGGGCTGCCGAGGGATTACATTTACCCTGCTGTATGCGATGCTCAAGATAAATTTGTATCTGATGATGTAAAACAATACAGAGCACCAGTTGTTGTATTTTCAAGGGGTTGAAACCTTGATGCCTGATTACAGCGATTGTGTTTCATTTGTCATTGCAGAGCACAGGTTCATTACTGAGAGGTCCTATGACTTTGTATTGGGTAACATGGACACAATAGGCCTGATAACTACAGTATCATATTAAAGCATCTAATTGTAAACTGCTAAACATCTGTATCTCTGGCAGCAGTTTGGAGATTAATTATACTTTGTATTTTTTAGCTTCTTGGAACCGGGCAGAGGGACAGTATTGCATCATTTTGTGCCACTTGCAAAGAACAGAGAGACTACAGTTGTGCTGCTGCAGTAATTACATCCTGTGTGGGTTTGTGCGCATGCAAGCGTGTGTGTACATTCTGTACCACCTCTAATTAGGATGCTCAGGAGAACTTGTTGACTTAACAATTGACCATGAAGTCAGTGTATGCATTTAGCAGCTTTTTCTCTCAGCCATGAACTGTTCTAAACATCCAGCCTGCTCTAAATCATCTACCTCCTTATCTGCCATTCAGAGCCTCGGCCGGTTTTGTTAACCCCAGTGCCATATTCAAATGCAGGTTTAAGGTTAATAAATAGCCTGGTGAGGCCATGTCAGGGAGGTGTGATATTGTGTGCTAGCAAGGATCAGCCTAATTAACGCAGGGCTATTGTCAATAAGTCATGTGTGAAAGACCAACAACCACTGTGCATACTACTTATGCATACACACACACTAAAACACATTTAAGCATGTAAGCTGTGTAAAAGAAGCCTAATGACAAAGCCTTTCAGCCTCGTTCTGTTTTCACAGCCTCACACGTGGACACGTGATTGCACACATCGTACCTCTTTACTTTGAAGCTTTTCACATAAATCGATAATTCAGTAGTTGGTCTGCTCCGCTGTCACGCAGGCGTGCTCACACAGCCACTCTGAAAGTAGCTGGCTGCACTCGCCCTCAGAAAGTGAGAAAAAGAGTTTGTGAGTGACACAATTCAGCCAGGAATGTAAGCTCTCCCTTTGAGCTGGTGGCTAAAAATAACTTTCTGTGCCAGCCCAGCTCTGTAGGCCATGTTTTGAAGTAGTGGAGCTTTACCCAGTTCTGAGTTTTAGGAGGTCGCAGCGCAATCTCTTGAGCAGACCACATTCAGCCCAGTTTTACAGAGAAATCAGAATGGACACAAATGCAAACATACGTAAATGTATACAGTAAACCCTCAAAGACATGTAAACACGCTGGTTGTTCACAGCTGTTAAATCTGTTTATACACTGGAAAATGGTGTACAATGAGCATTTTAACTATATAGCACCACTGGTTTTAATGTTACTGGGTAAAAGAAGAAAGTAAAAGAGCCACCGGCGTGTCACCATTTTAACACAGCCTTTACACATTTGAGAACAAGGTTGCATCTTCTGTCCACCCTTCAACGCATGACTGACACGTGTGTGGTATGAAATACATTTGATAAAATGTTCAGTGTGTTGTGGACAATCTGTATTCAAATTTCTGACCTGCAGATAACAGAGGTTAAATCATAATTTTGCATGATACCAAATGTTCATTGTATCTAAAATGAACTACTGCAGTAGTATCACTGTGTGTGTAGAAAACTGCTCTGGTTAGCAAGCAGATGGCCCCTGTGACGCACACTGGAGCGTGCCTGAGATACATCATGGTGTGTGTGTGTGCACGCATGTGAGAGAGAGAGAGAGAGAGAGAGATGGTGTATCTGTTTGATGTTGTGGAGGTGTGTGTGTGTGTGTGTGTGACACAGGAGGTGAGAAGACAGACTGACAGACAGATGGATAGACAAGTTCAGGATCCAAGCCCACTGCAGGGTCACTCAGCCGAGACATTCAACCTGAAGTGGACTTGGCATTTGGGGTTTAAGTGAAGTATACAGTTGGCTATGTTGTTTGGTTTAATTGATGTCTGATTTCTTTGCTGAGAGTCCTGTCAGCCAGGCTAAACCCCTGTAAATGTGTTTGGCGACTCCATGAACACAGCAGTGGCCTCCTGTGAGGACTATTACAGTGATGGTGATGACAGAATCTGAAGCCAGCCCTTGCATCTAACGAATTAGTCAGTTTGTGACGTGTTTGCAGAGGCTGGATGGGATTGGATAGCAGGTGTGATTGTCTGCATGTGCATGTAAACACTAACTGTAGTGTCGGTAGTGTGCACAGTGTGTGTCCACAACAAAAGCTGCTCTTTGTTGGCCCTGCCCTTCCCAAATGCTCAGCTGCCTCAAACTGCGAGCACGACTGTGAGGGTTAATAATAGGCCAAGCCCTGCTGCCTGCTCGCCTTGACAGAGGCATTGACACTGATGGCACAAGTGTAGTCAAATATATGAGGCAGTGTTCGTGCGGTGAACACATCTTTTAAATATTTATTATTGTTCTGTTTTCTCCCTGTACGAGGGCACAGACTGTGTAGAAATAGACAGAAGCTTTCGGTAACTGTGGCTAAAAAAGTTGTGGCACCACATCATGTCCCGCACAAGAGTTCCTCACATACTTCTGGCACTTTAATTTCTCAGTGAGCTGCAGCTGGGTGACAAACGAAAGGGCAAACTAGCATACAGTGGCCAACAGAGCCTCGTCAGGGCCGTTTCTCCAGAGCAGCGTCAGGTCTCCTCTACTGGAGGGAGGAAACCTCCTCCTTCCAAACCAGATCCCCTCACTGTGTCCAACCCGCTGTGTTGTCCTCATGAAGCCATTCAGTGACCTAGAGCTGCAGCCATGAGTCAGTTCACTGGTAGAAAATTAACCGCCAGCTATTTAGAAGCAACAGTCACCGACATGTTCTGGTTCCACCTTCTTTAATGTGACGAGCTGATGCTTTTCTTTGTCAGACCTGAGAATCAGCCGAGTCTCTGTGGATCTGTTGGTTGGACACAATGAGACATCTAAAGATGCCACCTTTGGCTCTGGAGAGTCACAGTGCAACTTTTTCCCAGCGTCTGACGTTCAGAGAATAAAAAGATCAATCAGATTATCAGGACAATGATCAGATGATTGATCAGTGACCCCTGTAGTGTATTTCCACTTATTTATTCACGGATGTCCTTTGATTTGTCACCTAACCAAACTTAATTTTAATCTAGAGACTTTTACAGATTTAAAGATTCTTATGAAATGCTTATATTAAAGAAATAATTTTTTGTGAGACAAATTTGCCTTTTTTGCTTTGTTACCTCGAGTTAGATGAGAGGATACCGGTCTTGTCTGTAAGCTAGCTAAACTAGCTTAGCGTAGCATCGTGACTGTAAACGGGGGAATCAACTATGGCTCCATCTAAAGGTAACAAAATCCACCTACCGGTACCTCTAAAGCTCTCTTATTAATGTGGTATGTTTTGTTCTCTACACATCTCTGAAGTGTAGTGATAACACATTGTGGTCTACACTGACTGCCCCCATTAATCATGACATAAAAAACTAGTTTTTTAAAAACATATTCTGTTCATTTGAAAGCTGCAGAGATGCTAGTACTGTATGGGAATTTTATTACCTTCAGAGAGCAGCAGGCCCCTGCTCACCCTGCTTCTGGCTGTATTGTCATATTTAGTGGTTTTGATTTCCTTCTGTGCCTCTCACAAGGTAGCTCTTTTGAGAAAGGTTTGTCAGCACTGCTGATCTTCTCAGATTTAAGTTCTGTTCAGCTCATGGGCAGCTACTCTCTACCTATAGTCACTCCTTGAAGGTTGCAAAATGACTGAGAGGATTAAGTGAGTACAACGAGTGAGTGGTGAAAGAGCCAAGCTGTGTCCGTCCAAAAAATACACCAGTGAGTGTTAAACTGACCTTTGACAGGTAGCTTGGTAAATTTTTATTTTCTATGGCAGGTGTACTGTACCTGCCTCATTAATTGTCATTTCATAGCCACCATCACAAACAACCCTCGATTCAGGAGGTAACAGTATGTACAGCAAACGCATTTGAATGGCTTTTTTGGTGATATTGCATGAGACAAACTAGTTTTTCATCATTCTGATCTGTGTGTACACAACCAGAATGAAATGTAAACATGACTGTAGTTCATTTAACTCAGGTTATTTGTATGAAACAAGCAGATATAAATCATCGTGTGTGTGTGTAAGGCCACCGAGCAACTACTAGCAGTAATAATAGACAACTTGTGATTCGATGGAATGAAAAAAAAAAACAACAGTGGTAGGAAAATTCGTTTCCATCGAGTGCTGCTGCTTGTTAACAACAATGGCAAACATTTGCTGGTCTTTTCCCCTGAAAACAAGTGGAAACAGACTTTGTGTGTCATCTTTCCATGCAGTTAAGGTCTTAGAGAGTGTAATGCAGTGGCTGGAGCCTGGTGTGGAGACTGTGCCAGGGCCACCTTTTTCTTTAGACACGAAGAGGGGAAATCTGGAAATCCCAGCAACTCGTTGACTCTTAGTTCATGTTTCTGAAAATACACACACCAAATCATTGTGGAAATGAATTGCACCGTCTATACCGAGGATTTTGACAAGCTTGCGTTTGTCTCTCTCTCTCTCGCTCTCTCTCTCTCTCTCTTTCTCTTTGCTCTTCCTAAGTGCCAGTGTTGATTTGTGTTTGTCAGCCAGCTATCAGGAGCCAGAGTTTGACTGGAGAATGAATACTAATCACTACATCTCTCATGATGCACAAGTGAGGACTTGACCAAGTGTGATGAAGTAGATTTCACTCCCCCTAGTAAATGTAGAGCTGCTGGAATGTGCGCGTGTTTACAGTAAGGCTGTTGCTGTTAAGTTGCTGCTGTATCTTGATTTTATTTATTTATTTAGAAAAGTAAACAGTTAGTTGATCAAGAGAAATGTTTCAGCTATTATATAAATCATTTTCTAGTTTCAGCTTTTTGTATTTTGAGAATTTGCTGTTTTTCTTAACTTTGAAAACACAACCCTGTTCTATTAGGGAATCGGAACACGCATTTGTCACCATTTTATGACATTTAACAGATGCAGCAGTTAGTTACAGCTCTATTGCTCTACATTAAGTGAAAGTCCTCCAGGATGTACAACTAGCCACAGTGGTGGACCGTGCTGTTCAGGCTCCAGTGGTTTTCTTCCTGTGGTCATCTGCTGTTCTGTGTCCCAGACTAACGGCTTGTGAATCGCTTACTGTTAGATCAAATGGGAAATCCACTGATGATTCACAAACGAGTGACTAAGAAACCGACTTTTTAACAAGCCTCTCCGTGTGCCCTCGCCCACTCACTCCAAACGTGAAGTTGAACTGTCAGTAAAGGATCAGAGGGCAGCAGCACAAGTGAAAGAGTGAACCAGTGAAGGCTTTACTGGGCACACCTGGAAGATTTCACTTCAAGTTCCATCTATTTCCAATGTGTGCGATTTTCACTGTTTGCTCTCACAGCTCTGTTAATGTGTGTGTGTGTGTGTGTGTGTGTGTGTGTGTGTCACTACAGGGTCCTTCAAGTGGAAACTGCTTTGATATTCCTCCTTGCAGGCAAACCAAGTCTTTCCTCTTTCTGTTCCCTTTGCACAAATGTTTTCCACTGACACATGTTGTCTTCATTTGCTGGGCTGAAGAATCAGTCTTCAAGTTTTTTGCTAAAGCTGCTCTGCCAGGAGTTTTTGTGGCTCCTCTCAGCGCATCACAGAGGGATATAATAATCATCCATCTTCCAGTTTGACAGCAGACGTGTTTATCATACTGAATGTTCATCTGCCCCTGTCAAGTGTGTTTTGCATTATGGAAATCTTTTTAATATACCAATGACACGCATTTAAGAAATGAGATTACCAGTGGCGTCATGACCACTGGCTTAGAGACACGGCCTCATTCTGACAAGGACTTGATTTCTAACTCAACATTTATTAATCAGTGCTGCACAAACTGTGCTTGTGTGACACTTTGAGGAGTTTTATTTCCTCCCACTTGTTCTTGACTCTCACTGAATGGAGATTGAACCCCAGGCTAACCCTCCCCAGGTTTCTCTGCATTGAAAGGCAAAGGTTCCGTTGTATTCGTGAAGTTGTCCAGAAGGCGCTGCTAGAGAAAATGTCACGTTAAATGAAGAGGTGTGGTCCTGGAGATTAGGATGTGTCATCATGGTGACATTAGTACAGACTGCCTTGCTTCCAAACCTTCATCCTAAATCATGCAGCATAGATGACGAACACGTCATTTTGATTGTGCAGAAATGATTGATGGTTTCAGATGAAAGCGAATGACTCATTTGCTACTTACTCTTTTAAATGATTAGTTTTTAAGCTTCCATCTGTTAGTGTGTTAAACATGTGAAAGATTAAAAGCCATCAGCTCACAGGAGAGTTGGCCTGGTGGCGACCAGCAGCAGCCCATGTACTCATAGTCATCGGCTGGTCTCAGATGTATATTTTAACTAGGGAGGCCCCCTCCCAGTCACAGTCATCTGCAGAGGATCTCCCTCACATTTACTATGGCAGGCAGCGCTGAATCACCTGCTTTCTGTTGCACTGTCATGAACAATACCAGTAAATCAGAGAAAACACAATCAGCATGTGAAACTCGTTGCAGGCCGGGCTTGACTCAAACCTCTCTTTCGCTTCTGGATCCTTGATGTGTGGAGCTCCAGCTTAAATTGAATGAGTGTGTCTGAGGCATATCTACTACTGACTGATATGGGAAAACCAGCCTTCTGCTTTAAGTAAAATACTCGTAACTACCCCTTTTTTGTCGAGCGATTTTCCTATGGCTTTAGACTTTCAACCCTTAGGGAGAAACCTTTGTAGATTACTGCTGTTTAATTTCTACTTCATATTTTCAGGTTTTTCTCCTCACATGCCAACTTTTATCATAAAATAACGTAGATTTCTTTTTCGGAAATCAAAATACCAGACAATCTTTCAGAGGCAGCCTCCTCCTTTGCATTTTAAGTCTGTTTTGCGACTGAGATGCAAATTCACTTAAATAAGTTTAGAATTTTTCAAATAGTATCGTATCATCCAGAGTTGCATCGAGCACAGCCACGATATCAAGAGAGGGAAACCTCCTCTGCCACCATGTTTTAACAAGAAAACCCAGTGAATCAAACTGAGAGGAGCTGGTTTGAAGTTGCACCTGATCGAGGCATGGGTTTCATGCTGACTGCCCTTGGTGCGTCTCTCCTGAGTTACATTATCAACAGATAGGCTCATGTTTGCTCCTGCAACAATCTAATCAGTACAGTGGAAAATAATATGTTTTTGCAGACGCCCACTTGATGTCGGTCTGTTGCTTATATTCCTGTGGTGTGATGGCAGATTCACTCCCATGAATCAACTGTGCTGCAGAGTGTACACATACGATTCTAGCTGTGCAGAGGCTTCTGACGGGCCTGTGCACATCGCTCTGTGATTAACCCGCTAATTGAACTGAACACAGCCTGTTTACACACAGTAATCAATTTTGGAAGATAAGGATAGACTCATTTTTAGTGTGTTTTACCCATTTATTGTGTATTACAAGTGTTAGCAGTGAAACGTAAAACTTTTTTTTTCTTTTCACCAGATTGATTTGGAGCTTGGACACAAGAAGCCTGGTTACTTGCTTTTTTTCGATCCAGCTGCTCTGTTGCTCCAGTGGTCATTTAACAGTTCTTCATTTTGAGCACACCTGTCTTTGGAAAGGTCATGGCCTTTAGAGGAGATCTGTAGTCCTTCGTCTCAGTTTTATTTCACCAACGGATTTGTGTGACAAAAATAATAAACCGGCCAACTTATTGTATATAATACCTCAGCTTTGTAAATACAAAGGTGCATGTTTGCTTTGACAGTCACCGTGTAGTCTCACGAGTGCGTGGTGGTGCTGCGAGTGTGGCTGTGACATGGGAAAGGAAGAGCCTCCCACGCTAACAGGATGATGTGAGTGATGGTGGCCAGACACAAAAGCAAGTGACAGAAAACACAAATAAAACAACAGAATGTACAGCAAGGCTCACAAATCAGACTGTTGGTCCTGTGACAGAGCCTGTAACAGGAACAAGTGGTTTTACAGCAAAATGTGCAAGAAAAACTCACTGAGGAAGAGACGGCTGAAAGGCGGTACTATAGCTGACTGAATGATAAAAGTTGTGATGATTAATTAATGCATTTGTGTCATTTAATGGTGTTTGTGTGTCATCAGATTTAAATACGGTTTCTTTTGCTCATGAAACACAGTGGGTTGGGTTCACTTGCTCATCGCTGGCTGAGTCACTCCCCTCCAACCTTTTTTTTAAAACAAATTGACTTACAGTAATACATCTGTTCATCGTGTCTCGGGGAGTGTGTGACTTTACACAACAAATGGACAGAGAAGAGAAGAGCTCTGCTTTCACTGACATGCACAGACAGGCCTGTTCATATCTCCCAGTGCCAGACTGGGCCGCAGGTTTCTCCTGCACCCTCCCAAACCAGTTTGCCCTGCCCGATGTCTGCACTCTGCGTCACCATCACATTTAAAACACTTGAGAGAAATCACACGAAGAAGTCACGGGACTAGAACTAAACACATCTTGAAACAGTGAGGAACAAAAACATTCACATCATATTTTCCAGTAGTTCCAAATGAGGTCTTCTCTCTCCTCGTGTTCTCAGCTGCACCTCACCATGTCACAGGCTTTAATGTTGATTTATTTCACGGTTGCTGGTTCTACTATCTCCCTGCGGCGTCCCTCGTGGTCATGGCGTGAATACTGAATAGAGGCTCTCGCACACTAGCTACTGCCCAGAGAAACTTATTTCTTTCAAATCAACTCTCTCTGACTGAGTCGGAGGACTAATTAGCTTGGCTGAGTGTCTCTCCAGGCTCGACAACATGTTTTTAACAATGGATTGGTTTTACACAAACCTAAGAACGGGTCCAAATAACTGCACTGAATCTGCGTTAAAGCTCTAGTGAAGTTACCGACGGCCCTCTACAATGTGTTCCTACAAGTGTCTGGGAACATCTTGTGGACTCAGACAAAGGCCAGAACCAGCTCCTTTGGCCAATGGAATAGTTCCTCTCATTAGTTCTGTCAGGAGTAATTAGAGCCTGGAGTTTTTGGCCTCTGGGTTTGTCAGTCTTTGGAACAGCACTGCCCTCTGCTGGAGAGACGTGTACTACTGCTGCTGAGGTCAATTCTAGTCAGTTTATTTGAGCCAATTCTACATGGTACTAATTGTGTTTTTGTTTTGTTTTTTTGTTTGTGTTTCTCTTCACAGTGAATGAAATCATTGGCAGAGACATGTCCCAGTCCCCCAGCGCTCATGGTCCTCCATCAGCACACACCCAGTCATAGCTCAGCCCTCACTCAGGCACTGACGTGGCCTGTTTTGGTTCCTAAACCATCCCCTCCAGCTCGTGTCCTCGCAGTCTCACAGCTCCAACACGGAGCCTGGTTCTGGTCCTGTGTGCAATGGAACCTGGGGAAACAAAGAGACAGGACTGTGATCAAAGACAGAACAGGGATGGAGATTGGGTTGAAGCCTCGCGGGCCTGCTAGACCACCAGCCTCACAAGAAGACATGCTCATTTGTCTCATCTGATTTCATAAACTATTTTATTTTGCTTTTTTTTTTAGATACAAAGAACTCACAGCTTCACACAGGTCAAGCACAAAGGTATAACAGTGTCGAGTTACACAGAGGGTCGAACAGTTGGAGAATAATGAGGAGCAATGACAAAATAACCCTCCACTGCTCACAGCTCTGTTAGTTCTCACGTTAGATGTCGAGATGTGATCTCCCTCTGTTCGCTTGCTGTCTGACCCATCATCCTGACCAGTCAGCACTCAGTCTGAATACACCCCCCAAATCAGAAGGAGTTGGGACGGTATGTAAAATCAAAACTAAAACTGATAAGAGTGATCTGTAAGTAATCTGTGTCCTGTATCACATTGAAAACAATACAGTAGCACATTATTTGATGTGACACCTCATCAATTTTATTCTTTGTTCAAAATAAACACTTCAATCCTGATGCTGCAGCACATTCCAAAAGAAGTTGGGCTGGCTGCATTTCAGGGCCAGTAACAAGGTAAAACAATGAAATAATGATTCCATTTGAAACAGGTGATGTCAACAGGTGACTGCAATCATGATTTGGTACAACAGTGGCATCCAGGAGAGGCCGAGCCCTTCAGAAGGAAAGACAAGCTGAGAATCGCCCTATGTCAACAGTGTCCAGCAGCACAGTCGACTGCTCTGGGCTCGGAGGCATCTGGGATGGACCATCACATGGTGGAAATGTGTACTGTGGTCAGATGAATCAGTATTTCAGGTCTTTATTGCAAGGAATGGACACCGTGTGCTCCAGACCAAAGATGAAAAGGGCCATCCAGACTGTTGGCAGCAGCAAGTCCAAAAGCCAGGGACTGTCATGGTCTGGGGTCATGTCAGTGCCCTTGGCAGAGGTCACTTACACGTCTGTGATGGCCCCATTAATTCAGAACAATACAGAGAGATGATGGAGCAGCACATGCTGCCTTCAAGACAACATCTTTTCCAGGGACACCAGTACATATTTCAACAAGACAATGCCAAACTTCATCCTGCCACATTACCAAGGCCTGGCTGTGGAGGAAAGGGCTGTGAGTGTTGGACTGGCCTGCCTACGGACCCAACCTGTCCCCAGTAGAGAAGTGTGTCAACGAAGACCCAGGACGGTTGTGTACCTTAAGACTTGTTTGTAGGAAGAATGGGACAAAATGATACCTGACACACTTAATTACTTGGTGTCCTTGGTCTCTAAATGTCTTTTAAGTGTTGTGAAAAGGAACGGCAGCATCACACTGTGGTAAACGCCTTACTATCCCAACGTTTTTGGAATGTGTTGCAGCATCAGGACTGAAGTGAGTGTTTTTTTTAACACAGAATAAAACCGATGAGGTGTCACATCACATAATGAGCTGCTGTATTGTTTTCAGTGTAACAGGACACAGATGATTTGCACGTCATTATCTTCAGTTTTAGTTTTGTTTTGACATACCATCCCAACTTTTTCTGATTTGGGGTTGTACATGTTTTTTTTTTTTTTAAAGGAGACAATGCATCAGTGAGCACTGTCATCTCAGTCCCCCGGCATCATGATTGAAGCTGTCTGGAGACACGTAAGAATCAGTGAGACTCGGGGGTGCACGGCATTGTCACAGGAAGCCAGCTCTGAAATTCAACAGGCAGCATCTTTATAAACATCAGGATTCTGGGTTTACCTGAGTGAACGTCAGAGAAAGTGTGGCACGATATGAGAGGACGTGGCAGAACTGATCACACTCACAAGTTGGCGATCATAGTGTGATCTTAGTAAAGTCAGATTGAACCAGCCTAAATGGTCCGAATTTCAATTGTGAGTAAAAATCTTTCAGAAAATTTTCAAATATCAGACTGAGTTTCCCTGTAAGGGTCAAGTAAGTGCAGTCCTATTGTTTCGCTAGTGGGTTAGCGATGATGACGTTTTATTACTCCCTGCCCCGCAGGCAGGACGAGCTCCTCTGGCGCTGGTCTGGGATCCTCATCCTGCAACATTCCGCAACTTTTAGCAACTTCGCCACCATGTAGATATCTGTACATGACCCCCCCCCCACATCGTCCTTCCTCTGTGTTTATCATCTGCAAATTGAACAAATGCCTTATTAATATTTAACAGCTTTGAATAGTAGCAAAACCTTTTTTGTTTTGTGCTGTTGGCTTTGAGTTTGACTATGACTTTGTTTTTGGACACAGACCTGAGTCAGGTGGATTTGAGTTAATGGATCCCAATGTGGAATGACAGGGTCGAGGTAGGCCCCCCCCCCCCCCTTTTTGTGCTTTCTGTTTCCTAACAGCCACCATTTCTGTGACACAAAGGAAATAATCAGACAAAACTTTTGAAAGTATTTTACACACAAATATGTCTAGCCACCTTTCTGTAATGAGAAGGTCAAATCCCAAAGTCTGGAGAACACCAAGGATATAACAAGCTCATCTGCTTCCCCCCCGTTTGCAACAATCATTGTTTGCTGTTCACAATCAAAGACTGCTCAGTAACTGTGTCAATATGCGACGATGTGTTCACTCAGATTTCCTTTTCCGATGGATATGCAGTGCCTGTATGGCAGCAATAATGCAGAATGAAGGAAAGGTTGCTATTCATATAGCTGCAGATCCTGGCTTTTTTTTTCCTTAAGCTTGACAATGATGCTCCTGCATGTGAAAGCTGAGGAGTGTTGCTAATGATAAGTCAGTTTCCAGGTGAAAATGATTCTGCTATGCATTAAAATTCTGCCTAATGCCTTTAAATGAGAGAAAAAAAAGACAAAAAAAAAACCCTTGATGCCTATAGAAGTAGACTTGTTGTAGATGTCCGATTGTGTTAGCACGCTGGGTTTGTCCATCAGCCAATCTGCCTTGTCAAGGACGGAGTGCAAGCATCGTAACGGGTTCAGGTGTGTGTGTCTGTGTGTGGATGGGTGGTTGGTTGTGCTTGTACCAAATATGCTGTGCAGAAGACAGGAATTTTAAGTCGCATTTTCAACAACAGAAGCATGTATTTAGGCTATGCAAATTATAACAGCGGCAAATGTGAGATATGACATTTAAATATGAGAAATGAGACTATAAACTATTTAGAGTTGCTTTTCTACTTCACAGAGCAGAAAGAGAAGAACCATTCAGATAGTGAGAGTATCGTGTCACTATGTAAACTAGTAGGATGCCTTAACTTGTGTTTGGAAACCAGTTTGTCAGTGTGTCTGCATGCTGTCCTGGGTTGGTTTTTTTTTTTTTTTATTCCATGACTAAGACATAAGTCAGTAACTATTATTATGTTTGTTTCTGGGGGCACAGGGTGGACACTGAGGGTTGGGTGGGAGGAGGGCGGTGGCTTTTTGCATATAAAGCTGGTTCTGCAGCTTGAAAGACTTGAGTTGACAAAAACCGAAACAAAACCAGCATTGGCGTAAGGCTCTGGCTGCCATTCTCTTCTGTCACAACCAAAGACCGAACAACATGTTCCCGTTTTACATTGTGGTAAAGCAACAGAGACTGTACAACTCTATTTTTGATACTTTGAAATGGATGTCATTCCTACAAGGTTGGGGACATGAGTGTTGGACATGAGAGACTGCTTTGTAAAATAAAAGGGAAATACAGGTTTAGCTGATGTTTACCGAGCCTTGTTTTGTCATTTCTTGTATATTTTGTATGTTAAAATTTTTGTAATTTTTAAGACTGCAGTGCTTTTTGAAATTATTCAAATGGAATACCTGGCATCATACTGTAGGCTCTAAAGTAGTGTATATCAATAAAACAGAAAACTCAACTGTGGCTTTGTGGCACTGTTTTTCCACATGTGCAACTTTTCTTACCCGTGCTGCCACTTTTTCATTCTTCCAAAACCGCCTTACCAAACCTGGTCCTCTACTCAACACAATACAAGCATGTACTCACAGATGACACTGCATCTATATGCCACCACTACCCGTGAGTAACTGTGTGTCTCCTCCCTCCCGTAGTGTGTCCTCTCTCTCTCCCTGTACCTTTCCTCAGGTATCCCTCGTTCTCTCTCTCTGTTTCTGATGAGCAGTCACCAGTCACATCAGCCTGCCCAGTGTTATTTGTGTTTGTTGCTTTTCTTTTCTTTTGTCTCTCCTCTATCCACTCACCCCAACTGTTCGATGCAGAAGGCCGCCCACCAAGAGCCGGGGTCTGTCGGAGGTTTCTTCTGTTAAAGGGAGTTTTTCCTCCCCACTGTCACCAAGTGCTGCTCAAGGTGGATTTGTCGTGTTTGTCTTGTATAATAATAATAATAGTGATAATAGTAAGGTCTAGACCTGACTTTGTAAAGTGTCCTGAGATGGCCTTTGCTGTGATTTGGTGCTATACTAATTGAATTGAAAGACCAAGATAACAGTAGTCTAATGAACTGTAAACACAGTCGTATATCTCTAAGTATAGGGGTCATCGATTTGGTACTACTCAGTAAAAGTCTGGTTTTGGATCAACTCCGGTTGATTTGGCTTTCATAAAATGGTTCTGTGCTGGTGATGTACAGTATATAGAAAATTTTAACATGTCTGATCTGGCGCCCTCTAGTGTTATTAAATATGAAAATGAGGCCAGTAGTAATGCCAGTGTTTTTATTGTATCTATTTTTGACAAACCTCTTCAGTGATAATTTATTATGAACTGAGCTAATACCTGCTCATGAAGACTGAGATATGGGCAAAAACCCATGTGTTAGTGTTGGATCTTTTACTTAAGTATAAGTAGCAATATCACAGTGTAGAAATACTGTTAACTCCTGCATTCAGAATGTTGTTAAAGTACAAAAGTATAATTAGTAGAATATACTTAAAGCACCAGAAGTATTATGCAGAATGACAGATAATGAATGGCAATTATTTCATTTCTGTTTTTATAATCTATACATTATATATTTGGTTTCTAAGTACTGCTCCATAAGTGGCCAATCTACCCTGTTTGTATCTGATCTTGTTTACTCCTGGAAGCTCAGCAGGCTTGGCCCTGGTTAACACTGGGATGGGAGACCACCTGTGTGTGTGTGTGTTAGTGTAAAACCTCTAGCGAAGGTAACTGGATCACAGTGTGGTGAAGACCCCACACGATGGGGAGCAGCTCAAAGAACTAACTTTAATGGTACAGGCGGTGCTAATTTTATTTACTTCATATGCCAATGAGGAATTTGTGAAATACCCCATTCTTAACTTAACCCTTAATAATATAGCTTCATTTGTTTGTAATATTAATTTGAATGTGCTGCTCAAATAATGCTCAGAACAGCCTGCTAAAAGACAGAGGGGAATGTGGACTGTTTGAACATATGGATTTAGAAAAACTGTAGGTGTGTTTAAAATACACCGTTATAAAAAATGGGTCAACAAGGACCAGCTCTTTAAGGTGAGCTCAGAGAAACGGCCTCACGAACAACGGTGACCAGCAAACAGGACCACATTCAACTGTGAGATCAAATGAAACAAATCAGTGTCAACATTTTTATTGTTTAGTCTTATACATGGATCTATATTCATACAAGTCTCAAACTTGCAACAAAAGAAATACTAGTATCTCTACAATCTTAAGCAGGATTTAAAGATGCTACAGACTGATCGTTATAAATAGCCTGTGAACAAAAACAGAGGAGATACTGTACAGTCGCTGAGGTCTGTCTTTATAAAAGGCTTCAGGGTGCGCCTCTGTCCTCTTACATTTAATAACAAAATATCCGCTTTTCTAAGGAAATGGGATTAATAAAAAATCTATTTAAGGAGCAATGCATCGTGTTAGTCTGTGGTTTAAAAGTTGCTCAGCTCCTTAGCTCTGTTTGGAGCAAAAAGAAATCTGTAGTGCTCAGAAAGTCTATAGGGGATGACGCACCGTCACATTTAAATGCTTCTTACAGACAACAAAAAAGGTTACACAGTGGCTGGTACACTGGCACATCTGTGCTGTAACTGTAGTTTTTACCAACAGCCCCTTCAGCTCAGGGTTCTTTCAGATTCATTCTGTAGTAGTCTGAGATTTCAGTAGTCAAAGTCAGTCTCTATGGCTTTTTTTCTGTTTTCAATGGCACCACTCCACTGCAGGAGACCATCAAATTAAACACTGTGCATACATGCATCTGTGTTTGCATAGAGCTAACACACAGGATCACCAATGATGGAAAAAATCTAAATCTTGTAGTGGTCAAGAATGAAAATTCAGAAATATACAGAAAAGACTTTGTATAAGGGGTGTGTAGTGCCTCAAGCATTTCAGGATGAAAGTCTCTACAGCTGACAGGGGGCACATACAATACACAGAGCCACTGACGGGGGTACCCTGGCTCCACAACAGGTGCAAATACACAGTAATGTTATACATGACTTTCACAAAGTCGTAAACCTACAAGAAGCTGCTTCACCTGTGGATGTCCAGACAGCAGCAGCAGCTTCAGGAGTGTCAAGGCCAACAGCGTATTAACAAATGGCACCTCATGATAACGGGGGAGATTCAACAGCACTGGGGTCAACTGGAAGCTGTTCATTTTTATGAAAAAGCTGTCACTTAGTGATGTTGAGATAAACAGAAGGAGGAGAGGATAGAGATGGAGAGCTAGAGGTCAGTTACAGAAGACCAAGTGGACCTGCTGGCCATAGAAGAGGTGGCTGGAGCGCTCAGCTACGGCCCGCCTGGCGATCTCCTCACTAGGGAAGGTGATCAAGGCCTCGCCGCTGCACTGGCCACTGAAGTTGTACAGGATGAGAATGGCATCTGGCTGGAGCTGCAGAAACACAAACGCAGATGCAAGTGTCACTTATGTTCCTGCAGCTACACTGCGACGACACCAGGGGGAACCCACAAAGCTGAGAGATGACCTGGGAAAACTCAAACAGGCTCAGGTAGGTAGAAGTAAAAAGATTGATGAGCAGAGGCCATGTTGCTCCCAGCAGACCTGAAACCCACATTAGTCATCCAATAGTTTGCATCCATGCTCATTAAGGTTGATGCAGAAGGAAAACTCATCACAAGACATGCAGATATGAAACACATGGCTCATCGATTGATCATTAGCAATGACAGCAGTAAAATATGTAAAGTCGTCATGTTAAAGAATCACGTCAGTGGAAATGATAAGCAGCGAGTTAGGCCCTGAGTCACAAACCAGTTGCATTAGGCGGTTTAGTGTAGGAGTGCTGAATCAAGACCAATTAATACTGCACAGCCATGCGAAGGTATCCTGTGTTTCGGTGCAGCTCGGTGAAGTATAACATCACTACCACCGACTTCATTCTTGTGCTGATAATGCTGAGTGCCAGAATAGCTCTTAATACTACTTAAAGGTTTCTAAAGGTCCCCGTTCCTCGAGGACAAGCATACAAATATATTTCACCGTCACTGCAGAATCGTCACCAACCTGAGTGATTTAAAGGGCCCATGGCGCTTTTCCTCATCTTCTGAATTAATGATTACTTCCAGAAAAACTGACATTCTGGAAATGGTGAATAACTTTTAATTTTCTAGTCTCTCATTTTCTCTTTCATCTATTTAGCACTCAAGACATCAAAACATCAGGACTACTCGGTACTTAAACACTAAACTTTCCTGCACACGCTTCAGCTCCTGATGTTTCATATCCTCCTTGTGTTTCATATATTCTTTGTATTTTCCAGTATACTGGAAAACTGGAATCACATTCAAGTGTCCTTCAGAAATCCAGACTCAGCACTCCTAAGAGGTCTAAGGGAAAGATTTAATGAGGGAGATTAGTTTGACATGCCGAGCTCAGAACCTTGATGGCCAGATCGGGCATTTCTATCAAGACTGGTCCTGTCACAGTATCATTTGGCTGCTACGTGTATAAAGGCTCATGTGGGGAAAACAAAGCTATGTGGTGATCTTGTGTTAAGAACAACACAGCCATCATGGTCTAGTACATTCTGGGGGTTTGAGTTGTACAAAGTGAGCACAGTAACACGTGACGATCAGTGCGCTCACTGGCGTACTAAGCATTGCTTTGGTGATTTGCAAGTCGTTTAACTGCTGTCGTTTGAACACAAATGTGAAGCATGTTTAATGTACCCTACGTTTTAAGAAGTTCAATTCATTTTCTATATGCCAAGTTTATTCTCCAGTGTCTTGACCTGCAAATCACCAACTCAGTCCCACTGGCCTACAGCTTTGTGTCTTGGAAATGCCCTCTCTGTCCACACTGGTTCTCTGTACTGGAGGCTCTTCTTACCTTGGGCTGAGTCCCTAAAGACAGAGCCATTCTTTGGGCTGAATCAAACTCCTGGCCTGTTCGTTCATCTGAACCACGCCGCTGTACTCATCAGGGGCGTACTACAGATACCATAATAATGAACGGACAGTCAGGGCAGGAGGGCTCCACATTGTTTCACCACATTGACAGATACACAAAAGATTCACAAATATACATGTTCAAAAATACTCCAGGTTTTTGAAGACGACATTAACACACCAAACCAGAGACACACACACACACACACACATACTGGCTGAACAGGCTTCATTTGAACCACACAGAGTGACGGTGTGGTAGAGGACACCAGTGCTGGTGAGAGAACTACCTTCTCATCCAGGTCCAGTGTTAGAAACATTACTGCAGCCAGAGAAATACACACTCACTCTATTAAGGCTACAATTACTGCAGTTCAGGTAACAGTCAGGATTGGAGTCAGTGCTACTGTCTCTCACTCACACACACACACATGAGCACTTGCACTCAAGTTCTCTCAGCTCAAATATAAAAAAAAAAAAAGATGCTGTGGTGTGATTTTGATTGCGGCCCCTGACTAAAGTAAGTAAACGCTCCCTATTCACAGACATGTTTTTTGTATTGCTATCTTCGTGAGGACTCTCGTTGACAGAACACCATCTCTAGCCCTTTACTCTGACCTTAACCACCACAACTAAATGCCTCACCCCGACCTAAACCCTCAGTCTTTAAGGTGTGTGAGAAAGTGAAATCCTGTCAAAATATCCTCACAAAGTTAGCCATACAAGTACACCCACACATACTCACTTCATCATACAAAGCTTGTACCAGCGCTACAGAATACGTGCCATAAAGACCAAAAGCAAACCCAAGATCTATGCTACAATACACAACACATCCCCGCTCTCTCCCCAGATTGTCAAACCGTCTGAAGCCAAACCTGCCGAAGTTCATACCTGCATCACACGACTCCATTTAATTTGGGCTGGCAGTGAAAAATATGGGAAGCACAATGCATTTATCATTACATTTTCTCTCCGCCAATTAACTTGAGTGACAAACTTTTGTAGTACATAGCTATAAATTTCTGTACAAGTGATCGGTGTGTGTGACGCCTCCACCCCTACAACCATCAATGCACTTTTTGTCTAGAAATCTGTGGCCACATTTTGGTGCAGGTACTGACTTGGTATCCCTGGAAGAAGCTGAGGATGTCCTTGACTCCAGTATTGTAGGGCAGACCCTGCATCCTGACCAGGGCACCAGGCTGGGCCAGCATAGTTGAGGCGGCGGCTGCACCAGGATGTGGCTGGGCAGCAACTGCTGCCATGGCTCCTGGTGGAGCTGCGAAGTAGCCAACGGTGGAGGGAGAAACAGGGGGACTAGAAGAAGCAGAGAAGTGAGAAACAAGTTAAAGACAGAAGGTGACCAGAGGGTAAGTGTAAGTGTGACCGGGGGGAGAGGCTACGGCTGTACTAACCTGGGGTAGTACGCTGTGTAGTTCATGTTCATATTCATATACAGGTGTGGCTGAGGGGCATAGTAGGCCAGAGTGGGAGCTGGGCTGTGTGCGGTGGTCTGCGGCGGGCTGGGAGAGCGGGGGCTGGTAGAGGGCAACCTCAGAGAGGCCGGCAGGTAGGGTGGGGAAGGCAGTGTAGGCAGTGGGGGGGGACAGACCTGCAGCAAGTGACAGACATTCAGAGTCTGGGCATTTACATGTTGTGTTAAGTGCATGCACAAAACAAACTAAATAAAAAAAAATATAATACAGCAGGCTGGATGGTGGCAGCCACATACGCGGACCATCAACGTCATGACAATGGCACAACGCAGACTTCAAACATGTCTGCCTGCTAGATCAGACAGCCTCTCAAAATTCAGCCAGTGGTCCAATAAGTGGAAAAGGTTTTACAGAAAATCCAAAAATACCACTATGAACAAAAGGAAAGCAGGCTGAACTGGTGACTTGAGAATCATTTGGCTGCGTTCACTTACAGGGAAGTTTGCAGGGTGGAGGGGGAAAAATGCTCATCTCCTCTGTGGAGCACTGGAACACCTCCACGTACCGGTCCTTCATCGTCTTTTTATGGCATTTCTGGGCCACCATAAACGCCTTGTCGGGTGACTTCATTTGGATGAAGGCATCGCCAGAGGGCCGACCCTGCACAGTGGGGAAGAGGAGGAAACAGAATAAACACATTCACGGGCGGTGGAGAAGTTACCGACCGATTTGGCTAAAACATGGTGAAGGACAGGGTTGGGTGATCACGTTCACTTAAATCTGTTAAATTAACTGATGCTGCATTTGTGTGGTGGTTGGAAAATCTGAGCAACGACTTATTTATGATTTTATCTGGACACAGTAATAAAGAGGATGAAGTGGTTCTGCACTGACATAAACATCGCCCTACTAAGTTTTTGGGTTTTGCTTGGACACATCATCATATTGCACATTTATTCAAATTCTTTAAGAATTTAAATGTGCTCAGATTTGTTCCATCTTGCAAGGTTTCATTCTACTACGATTTGTGGTACTTGGCTGAGGGTGTACCGGGATTTAACAGAGCCATGAAGCTTTACAGTAATGCATGTTCATGGGGCCACCGGTCTGACCTGCTGGTTGAGGACCATGTGGACTCCGTGGGGTTTGATGTCAGCGGTGTGCTCTCCCATGAACTCCAGGATGTCTTCAATGCCAGCGGCGTAGGGCAGACCACGAAGGCGGACGCAGTCACGTGTGCTGCTGGATGCAGGGAGGAAGGGAGGTGTGGTGAGGACTGGGACCGGCACAATGGGTGAAGAGGGCAGTGTGGAAATCAGAGGTGTGGACATATAACGGTTCAGGACCTGGTGAACACAAGAGAGGAGGGACAGTGATGAACCAAAACGCACTACTGCTAATCGTCTCCTGTAATTAACTCTTGTTAAATGAGGACAAGTTCACGTGACAGCCTCTCCACAGAGGGACTCTGAGTGTGTCAATAGCAGGCTTAGGTTTTCTGCATGTGCACAAGAGACATGAACTGGCATTTCACAATAAAGAGGAACCAGCTGAATGACAAGCACATAGCAGTTTCTCAGGGTGACTGAAAACAAAACAGCAACAATTGGGAAATAACACAAATATTTTTAGTTGAGCAAACTCCACAATCATCTGATTTATTGGATGACTCGACTGTTTCATGACATACTCTCCAATACCGTGGCTGTTCATTTGTCTGTGGTCATGACATCTGTTCTCTAGAAACAGAGGAAGGAGTTGTTGTGGACCTCGGCCCATGTTCAGCGGTTTCAAAGAGAAATTTGCTTGTTTATTCACAGGTTGCAAAAGTGCTTTTCTTAACAAGATAAAATGCATGATTTGTCCATATTCTCACCATAGTTTTGTTATATATCAAACAGCACTTTAATCACTGCCAAGGAAAACATGGGAATGTTTGGGTCTGAAATTAAAAATCAAAGCCACAACTCTTCATGTCACCATCTCAATGTTACTTCAAAACAGACATTTACACAACACAAACCAAGATGTATCAAGCATCTTTACCAGTTGAGCATTAAAAAGGAACCCTACCTGTTCCAAACACAAAACCAAAGGCCTCTTTATGACTTGCATCTGCTTTGACCCCTTTGCAGTACTTCAGCTCATTTTCCCAGCAGAGTTCTAAATATCTGACAAATCTCACAGCAACATTTACCTGTTGCACCTCAGCCGCTGTGCTCCGAAACAGCTCGATGTATCGCTTCCCCAGGATCTGCTTGTGCTTCTTCAGGGCGTTCTGGGCATACTCTTCACAGGAGAAGAGCACAAAGGCGTCGCCAGTGGGCCGTCCATCAGGGTACTTGACAAACAGTAGACCCTCTGAACCATCTGTAACTGGGCTCTCAGGACCCAGGAAGGACAGCACTTCCTGGTGTGTGGCGGTGAACGGCAACCCTCTCATACGGATGATCACCTGGTTCTCTTTGGATAGGAACTGGGTCACCTCATTGGACGTACCTGAGTCAGAGCACAGCTGGGATTAGTACCCGGCTTCAGCTACAAAACAGGACCAACCCAGTGTCACTGGTTTAAACTTTTTTTTTCCCCCTTTGTTGCTGACGAAGAAATATTATAGTATAAAAAGGAATGTAATCATTTCCATTTTTTTTGGTTTATCAATCATCTCATGGTTTAGAAATTGTCCCACTTTCCAGTGGTATCACCCTGTGCCACCCTCACATGTCCTTCCACCAGACAGCTACAGACACCTGTAGCAGGCTCAGGTCCTGGACCATCTCCGAATCTCTACAAAATTATTTTTAAACAGGTGTTTCCATCCCATCTGCTTTTTTTAGCAACATATTTTTTGTGATATGAACTATTTTATGATTTGGCATCCTATAAAAGAGAAAAAGTCATGAATAAAGTAATCGCAGCAGAAACAAAAATCAAAAGTTGGTTGTTCATACAGGCATCATGGCTGTTAGTGACCATCAGCTGTTAGTTCCCACTGATGTGTGCACACAGAGCCAGGTGGACCAAGTCAGATTTTTCACAGCTCTCTTCAGTGTCGCACATTTCACAAACACCTGCACTTGGTTTCAGGTTTATTTTTATATCAGGTTCCTCTTTTCTCTCCAACAGTTCAGACAGAATCCATTTGAGGTCAGATGAAGAGGATATGTTAATGTAATATGCAAAATAAGGACTATAAACACAACCCGTCTTGTCCCAACTTGCAGCAACTCCAATGGCTATAGTGCCATTAAACAGTATCCATGCATTAGCGCCATATTCAGTGAAGTAAGGTTTGAGCTATACAGCCTTCCATAGGCCTAGGCTACAGGGGGCTCCCATGAGGCTCTGAGCTCCTCTCCTCTCTCTCCATCCATCCATCTATATCCCACCACTACCCGTCACTGACTGTGTGTCTCCTCTCTCCCGTAGTGTGCCCTCTCTTTCTCCCTGTACCTTTCTGATGGTAGCCCTGGCTCTGGAGCTCTGTTTCTGATTAGCAGTCAGCGGCCACATCAACCTGCCCAGTGTTTGACTGTTTGTTGTGTCTTGTTGCTTTTCTTTTCTCTCTCCTCTATCCACTCAACCCAATCGGCAGAAGGCCGCCCACCAAGAGCCAGGGTCTGTAAGAGGTTTCCTCTGTTAAAGGGAGTTTTTCCTCCCCATTGTGGCCAAGCGCTGCTCAGGGGGGGGATTTGTTGGGTTTTTCCTCTATAATTATTAATTATTAATTATTAATTATTATTATTATTATAAGGTCTAGACCTTAGTTTATAGTGTCCTGAGACAAGTTTTGCTTTGATTTGGCGCTATACAAATAAAACTGAATTGAATTTGATCACTTTGTCAGTGAATAAAAAGTAAAGAACAGAATTCACCTGCACAACGAGCAGGATAAAGATGTGCATTTCAATGGCCTCTCATCTGATTAAAATTAATAATCAATGACTTCATCACTAGACGACAGTTATTTAGTGATTACATCAGAGATTATTAACTTAATCACTATGTGGCTGCTGTCTGGTGAGTAAGTTAAGGTATAGTTTGTATCTTACTGCTCAAGTAAAAAAAAAGAGACTATATTGAAAATGAATTAAGCATTATTGTCCATGTTCCTCCTACTGACCTGGAGACTAGTGTTTCTAAAGGATGACATTTCATTGTCCAGAACAACAATGTCACTATCTGATAAACTGAATATTTTGAATTGTTCACGTTATTGCTTTCATTACTACTGATAAATGTAGCTGTGTCTTGGCTGCTTGAACTATTAGGTTAAAGTCCAGTGTGCTGTCAATCCATACTGAGCTTAGCTCATCTGAGTAAAGTCCACAGTAAGTTATCTGTCTTTGTCTACTATCTCTGTCCTGTGTTACACTGGCTGCTGCTCTGCCATCCAGAGGCCCCAGGCCCTGCCTTTGTCTCTTCACACCCTCACTGCATCTGCACAGAGCCGGCCCTTTCACCGGCCTGCAGCCCTCTCTCCCTCAGGGGAGTGGAGCTCCAGGCTGAGCTGAACAGGTGAGTTGCTGTTAGCCGAGACTGAAATGTCTCTCCAACTGGCCTCAGAGGTCGAGCTGTGGATGAGGTGTGTGGGTGTGGTGGGGGGGGGGGGGGGGGGGTTCTCCTCACAAAGCATCATTCATTAATCCGAGATAAGCTCAGGAACCACTAGGATGAGGCAAAGACACAGGTAACAGGAGAGAGGGCTCCCTGCTCTTTTGCAGATGTGGAAGGATCCCATGAAAGAGCAGGCCAGCAGAAACAACCTTTTGCCACGAGTCTCCATACAAACATTCTGATAAAAGGGGGAAAAAATTAAAACCTGAAACCTAACCTCCAGCAATCTTGAGGAATTCCTCTCCTGTGGCTTTGTAGACCTGAGGAGACAAGAAAATGGATTCAGCTATTTCACTTCAAGCTCAATGGATGACAACTGACAGAGCTCCGCTCTAAAAACAAAAAAATATCTGATCAGTTTCTAAGTGATATGGAGCCTGAGGGAACATTTTTGAACATTCAAAACAAAAATTACACATTACAATTCCAATATGAGCGAACAAGAGGTAAACGCTGATTCTAACCTCAATGTAGCGGCTGCCCATGTGGTGCTTGTGGCGCTCCAGGGCCAAGTCCCTGTGCTCCGAGTTGATGAAGCGCACCAAGGCCTCACCGTTCCTCCTGCCCTGGGCATTAAGACACAGGGCCACGCCACCCCTGTCACATGGGGGACACAGGTACAGGCATGAGGATCAATAGAGTTCATGATACAGAACCACAACCAGAAATGTAACAGGTTCTTTATTGCATGGTCAGAACCGGGTAAATATGAAGCTGGAGCCTGCAGCTAATTAGTTAATCCCATCTCCCACACATTTAATCCAAATATACTAAAACCAACTGTAGCCTCAACACAGAAATTCAATCAGAGAGAGATGGAAAAACTGATACTCATCTAATCATCTGTACATAGGCTACTTTACATCACTTTAAATGGGGGAACAAAACATTACTGGGATCTTAAACAGTGCAAACCCTCTCCCTCCCTCTCCTCCTCACCCGCCCTGCTCTAACCTGCAGCCTGGATCTGTCCTTGTCTTTCTCTCCTGACATAGCTACAGTCCTGAGACCCAACTGTTTCAGTCAGAGGAGGCTCTGTGTTAGGTTTGTATACAAGCTGATAACTAGATGTTAAACGTAAAGCCAGGTAGCAGCTATTAGGTGTCTGCACCACATATTTAACTTAACTGATGTCAGTGGGGTAATACTCCTACTTGGAGCTTGATCTTCAGTATGCATTTTTAAATATCTCGATGTAAAGTCCTTTGCACCTCTGTCATTTTCTGAGTGCCTGACTTTAGTTACTGGCTGCTTGTCAGGTTTACCGAATGTGTGAACGGCCCGTTACAGCAGCGTGACAGACCAAACCACTGTTTTTGCATTATGAAGGAAAGTACAATTAGGAAGATAAAAATAACAAGGTTTTATGTGACTCACAAATAATATATGAAGTTGCCACAAATTACTCCCAAAGATTATTTAAAGGTTAGACAGTCATTTTAGGGCCCCCTTGACCCAGGGCCCGGGACAACTCACCCGGTGCTCCCCCCAGTTTGGCGGCCCTGTCTGTAATAGCTGAAAAAATTTAAAACTGTTTGTGCTATCACAGCAGCTGTTTCAAATAAGGAAAGAAATGCTGCAGATCGTGGTCAACATATTGAAAGCTCCAAAAATCCCTTCAAAATGCTCTGCTGCAACAGAAGTTTAATGAGCCACTTAGAAGACGCCCATCGAGCCCAACATACTTGGCAATATTAAGGCCTTTAAAGAAGCGCGCGATGTCTTGGTCCGACGACTGCCATGGAAGCCCTCGCGCTCTGATCACTGTCTCGCTGTCCACAGGCTCAGTCTTACTGCTGCACAGTGTTCCATGTGGAGACAACAGATTCATTACATTTCTGACAGTAACGTGAAAATGAACAATAACTGGAACAGATGATTTAAAGCTTTTCTGCAGATCACTGTAGCTTTAAGAAAAAGAAAAACACCATTGCTCTTGTTCAGCTTGAAGAAATTGGCCACAGATTGCAAACAGAGGCCGCTCACAGTAAGTGCTTAACACAGTAACACACTCCCATGACTAAATGTCAGGGGGCCATCGAGGTGACGGGTTTTTGGCAGCATTTGGTGTTTTGCTAATAGACATCCAAGTAAGCACTTGATGGCAAAGTTGGACAGCTTTAATGACACACCTGTGGTCTCCTTGTTGCTGTAATCAATGCTAAGAGCCTGACATGAGAAGTCTGAACACTGCTGAAGGGGGGCTGTAAACAACGCTACTAGAAAACAGGTGTGGTAGTAAAGCATGCACAGGGGGAATGGGAGAAATGTACTGAGAAGTTATACATACCATGTGCCGGAATCTAACTTGTACTTCACAGTTTCAACACAGGTAAATTTGTGATCTAAAAAAAGAAAAATCACACAGTATGACTGAATGTGTTGTTGGATCTTAAAAGTTCAGAACAATGTTGCCTCTTCCATGCTGTGAACGGTTGGCCTTGCCGAGCAGCGAGGGTCTGAGCACTGCATTCCTGTGACTTGTCACAGCCAAAGTCAGACATACTTGCTGTTATTAGGGCGACTGCCACAGTCAGGATGGAAGATATCCCATTAAAGATCAATTTACTTGCACTGTAAAATATCTAAAGCCACCTTACACCCATCCATGCTGACTAAGAGGATTTTAAGCTCTGGACACATCCAGCTTTGAACAGTGCCATGGGAGGTGGCAGATGAAAGTCTAGCTACTACTTACTGTGGGGCTCAGCCAGCATGCAGAGTGTCAGCTGCACCATACTCCTCACCTCCCGCACCCCAACTGTCTGCTCTGACACAGCAGGAAGACCAACAACTGCACGCACAGTTAAGGACGTCTTCCAGTTTTAACAACTCATCTGAAATCATTCTATGCTGTTGTCACACCCTCAAGTGAATTAGCAAAGAAAAGTTTTACAGTTTGTAAAAACAGGAGGTGTATTATCAGTTTTCCTTGCACCAAAAGGAGTATTTATAACAGTTTAAGTAAAATGTAACTGCAAATACAATTTTGTGAAGGATACATTCCAACATAGAGGCGAGCGTGAGCTTCTGCACTGGGCCTGCATTGGGGCAGCATTTGTGAAACTCTTTTCTCAGGTCCACAAATGAAAAGAAGCATTCAGGAAGGACAAGATTCTGCAAAGGAAGAATTAGGAAAATGATTCAGCGTGACAGTACAACAATCACCAGGAAGATAACAGACAGAGGTATATACAGTATGAGCTTGGATCATCTTGTGTGAGTTATGAGCAGGAATAGCATCCAAATTCATCAGGAAAGAACCCAGACTCAGTCACAGCATTTAGCTTGAGCACATTTCTAGAGAGCAACCAGTTTCCATGGTTTATCACACTATCGTATAACTGCAGACATGAATAGAGGAAACTGGTTTGTTTAGTGGGATTACTGGTATTCCAAGGCAGAGCAGGACATGCTAGTGCAATCAGCAAAAACATTTAAAACACTTTCATTTAACAGAGCAACAAACATTGTCTCCCATTAGAAATAACTCCTAAACCTCTGCAATGCTACTGAAAACCTTACAGAGAGCACGTCTGAAGAGACAGCGGTGGGAACTTGTACCTTTTTGGAAGCTTCGGGGTGGAGGGCCTGTCGGACGACGAGGGGACTGCTGACACAAAGTGTGTAAGAGCTTCTGCCGAGACCTTTCACCTCTGATGACACTGACTGGTGGAACTGCACGATGAAACAGGAAAAGAATATTTCAGAACCTTTACAGGACAAAGGAAGTAGCTTATTTTGCATTAATTTACTCCCAATGATTTTCAAATGTTGAGACTTAACATACTCTTCAAATATCTGTTGTACAAACATCACCCATTATGTGAAACTGAGAGTCATGCAGTGAGCTTGACTCTAAAGATAAAGCGGTGGCGGTGTCGTGTTTGTTTCTCATTAGGAACGCGGCCTGTCTAACAGGTTTACATGTTTGCCAGTGAAGGAGGGAGCAAACAAAGCAGAGGAATGATCACTAGGAGCACACGTTCCTCATGGCATGACCAACAGTCGCAGGTGGACAGGAGGGAAAACTGTACAACAAGTCCAACCTGTCTGTCTCCACTGTACAAGAACTACAACACCCAGTCCTAAATACCAGCACCTCCCACATGTATTTATAAGTATGACATTAAATAAGCCGCATTCCTTGTTTTGCGTCAACCTGCTGTTATCACCGTGTATCTGTCAGAGGCCATCGTTGCATCACGCACTCAGGCTAATGACATTTGAAAGCCAAACACTGCAAGTCTGAATTTTTTTTATGATTCTGCTTCAATTTGTTGTAGGAACAAAGCTGTGTTAAGCAGTTTTTGACCAACAGGGCTACAAACACTGCAAAACAAACTCACAGTGACAAAACTTTAACGCCCTAGGAGCTTATTAAATGTTAGCAAATGTTTGGCTCCTTAAACATTCAGTAGACACACAGTAGCCTGATGAAATCAAGTCTAACGTTCACTCCCCTGGTTTGAGAAAACAATCATAAGAAAATCATCTGAATCATCTGAGACTTGCTAAATGTTTCACCAGCTGCTCATTGACTTTAGCTTCCTTCCTGTGTGCAATGGGCCCAAACTACAGGTGATTTCCTCAGGCTGGGTGCCACATTTTACATAAAATCTGCGGTTTGGTGGAGAGCCACAGGGAGTCAACCACTCCAATGGGCTAAACAAAGCTGTTCTGGGATCTGCAGGACTAGTACATTTGTAACTCAAACTTCTGATCCACAATTATTCTCTCTTACTTACATTTTCAGCTCGACCGAGATCTCACAACTACCCATCTTTGTTGTCTCGATCCAAATGGTCGACACAGGAACCATCTACACCACAGCCTATCTGAATAAGATGTGGGGACTCTAACTTTGCATAATATTGACAGGTATTCACTTATTCCTCAGTGTTACAATGCAAGACAGATGCAACCTTTAGCATGTGTCACTGGCCACATCACAAAAGGTACAACAACTGTTTTTCCCTTCCTCGTCCTTGAACCCTCACTCACCTCCATAAGAGTGAAATCAGTCTGTCTGAACATCACCTTAAACTCGGTGACATGGCCACTGGCTACATATGACAGCTCTTCAAACAGTGAGAAAGTATTAGATGTGCATGTTGGGGCATGCTCTGTAACAGTCAGAGAGAAATGCAGAGTTGTTTGGCAACTCCAGCCAGCTGCTGACAAGGGAACAAATTAAGGGAATTTTGGAGTAATTCATCTGAGAGGGGGAAAGAAAGACCTATAACAGATCACTGGTCACTGAAGTTTGTGTTTAAAAATAACAGAAATCTTGAGTCCACGCTTTTCTGTTGTGTTAGAAAGAGAGAGAGAGAGAGAGAAACAGGCGGTCTTTGCACCAGGCACCTCAGGCCCTTTCTGTAAATGTTCCTGCAAGTTTATGGGTCAAGGTCATGAGAAAACAGGAGCTGCACTTTTGAGTTTCAAAAACATCTCTAGCTCCAGAGCTTGTACAATTTGCAAAAACTGTGGTTCTGGTGAGTGAAACAGCAACCCCCAAAGTTATTCGGTTTTACACTGAGTAGGTGAGTCGACCATGTGAGAGGCAGAAGGTTCATGGGTTGATGCCAACATCTGAGGGTTGGCTGCTTAAAAAAAAACAAAACATGACTGTATTTTTCTTAAAAGTATATGTATGTAACAGCAGCATTATTCTGAACCATCAGGTTGTGATGACAAAAGTATCTTAGTTATTGGTGATGACAAATATCAAAAACCACCTTGTGTCAAAATGTGAGTCATCACACACATAATGCAAAAATAACAGAATTACCTTTTGGCAACATTGACTTTATCTGCACTTTCATATTTGGTCCAAGTTTATTTCAACTAGTCTTTTATCCAGTTCAAGATAAACAAATTGTCCTGACCACAATATCAACACATCGCCCAGACGATACATTAAAGCCTTCATATACAGTGTACACACACGCACAAACACATATACACATTATATATGCATATTTAGAAAACCTTTTATAATATTCATGTTCTGCACATGTACAGGACATCTCATGCGACCTTTGCCGTTTTCATCATTTCCTCATGTGTCTAAAAAGCTCACTGTGCCAGTTAAGTAGTCCTGTATCTCATCTAATCCAACCTACATGTACTGTAGATTTCAATGTTCCTTCATGACAAAACACAAAAATCCAAAGCAATGACACAACAAACATCAGTAGATTAATTCAGTGGCACAGTTTAAGCACAGTCATCCAGCACAGTTTCATGTTTACAGTGATAACAAGACTAATGTTTGCTCATAGCTCTGCATGCAGCTCCACCTTGGCCAATTACTAAAGCCGGATTATGGAGATGTAGCACACCTTCTCCTGCTCTCCTCTGTGTCAGAATTCACAGTTTCAACTGAGCAAACAAGCCGAAGACTACTCCAACAAACACATGAACATACAGAAGTCTAATTCCAGTAATACAGTCATTATCAGGCCTTCCTGGCACATGTGGCTCTGCTGTGAAACTGTGCCAGCTCATTACCAGGTATGTAAATGGTAAATGGTCTTATACTTGTATAGCGCCTTTCTATGCTTTTACAGCACACTCAAAGCGCTTTCACATTATTCGGCCATTCACCCATTCGCACTCCCAAGCACTCACGCATTCACACACCGGTGACTTCACCGGGAGCAACTGGGGGTTGGGTGTCTTGCTCAAGGACACCTTGACATGTTGACTGGACAAGCTGGGAATCGAACTGCTAATCCTCCGGTTAGGAAACAACCCGCTCTACCTCCTGAGCCACAGCCGCCCCCATAAACCATCTTACCAGGAGAAGAAATTTTAGTTTAATTCAACATCCATTTCACCAAGACTGTAAAATAATTACTAGTACAATGTTGCATCACAGTCTACCCTCTGAAAGGCATTTCCACAGCTGAGAGGGAGGAAGTGGCCTTTGAACATGGTCCTATCAGAGTCTGCTCTCCAGTGCAGCCTGACTGATTGTATGAGGTAGAGCACTCATAAGAACACTGATAAGAGCTGCAGGGAGTGTCAGGACACTGTTTGAGGCACCTGAAGCTAAACACACACACACACACACACACACTCAGGGGCCTGCACCACAATGCGAGAGTAGTGGCTTATCCTGCTAACTTTGGCTCAGCTCAGGTTCCAGTACCACGAAGATGGCTAATTTTTAATTGGGCTAGATCACCATGGTAACTTAGGCTGCACAGCTAACCTGCTCTTAAGCAGGTTAACATCAGAGGATCGAATCAAAACCTGTCAACAGCCTGAGAATCAACCAATCAGATCACTGGGAAAAAAGTGATTATTCCTAATGGATCCGGACAGGGTGTTAACATCAGAGGATCGAATCAAAACCACCATCAATGCCACCCGTCAGGGTTTTACAGGTTCCATCACTGCTGCTCAGAATAAAATGAGGCGACTCTGTGATCATGGCCTTTCATAAAAAAAACAAAAAAAAAAAAACAACCCACACTATGTTAAATATTTCCTGTGATTATAAAGGAGCATCTGACTCGAGGCACAACCCCTCCTCCTCTGTCCTGTCCTGTTCTCTCCAGCAGCACAAACAGGGTTTTTTGAAAAAAAGTTCCTTTATCATCAGACAAAGGAGAAACCAATACACACTGAATAAGGTGCTTAAAATTACACTGTGTTCATGTATGGTATATTCTTAGACTTTCCTTAATATTTGAAAGTTTTTTCAAGAGTTTTAATAGCTTCTTATTTTATTCTTATTATTCGCTGTAACATCACTTCTTGCTCTGGCTATAAATGATTTTCCCCGCAGGTATCACCACTACATCTCATATTAGTTTCAGGGGCTGATTTTACCGGTACTCATGGTGCTGTCTGTTCTAATTATCAGCTCCAACTCTTTCACACAAACGCACTCGTAGACTGAGAAGAAAACCCAGATTTAACAGAGCCGGCAGAAAACCAGATTCATTGTACCAGTTATCCAGGATAGCCCGTGTTAAGCTCAGTGAAGCCAGATAACCCCAAGAGAGCCAGAATAAGGTGAACTTGGTCTCAGGTGTAAGTTTGTGACTGGACCAAAAACAACATGGACAAAACAGTGTGTGACTGAGGAATGTTTGAGTGTTACCTTAAAACAGGGAGAAGACCTTTCAGTGAGTTTATATGAACTTGATTATTTGCACCTATTCATGGTTTCTGAAGTAAAACAGCGTCTTAAACATCACAGCCATAAGAAACTCAGCTTCTTTTGCCCTGAACGGAAAAAAGAACAATAGGCTACCAGACTGTGTAAAGCTCAAACATGCACACAGAGAGAGAAACTGTTCTCCCACTCACTGCCCCATTAGTTTAAAATCCTCAGAATGTACGGCTCAAAGTTTTTTTACATGAAAAAAAAATCTTGAACTTGAATCATTAATCTGAAAATAATCCAGTACACAATAATTCAGCACACAAATAAGTAATTGCCGTGGGTGTAAATATACTCTCGAATTTCCTGCAAGGAACTTGTTTTCATGTGCACATGTAGATGTGGTCGTTGTTACAACAGGCAGATTTTCCTTTACAGTGGCATTAACGTGATATTTTAGAAACCTTCAGATGCATCCAGCTGAAGCAACATGATGATGAGATGCAATAACTTTATCATCTCATGCTTATCCAAATCACAGTCGTGTGTGTTATCTTTCTGCAGCCTTTTGGCGTAGTGTTACAGTCCAGGCTGTGTGAATCACTCTAGTATGTGAGTAGTCATGTTAACCATCTCACAGCTTTGTAAGCAAGCACTGAATATTAGTAACTTAACGCAGAGCTGAAGCCAGTAGTCAGTGTTTCTAGCTGCTTTCTCTCATAGCAGTGAAGACAGTGCAGAGTTTTGGTTTCACAACAACAAGGTGTACTCTGCTCTCACAACACATACAGCTCCCTACAGGCCGTGATGTCCTCAATGTCTCAGACTATACAATTAGGTGAAACATCCATCAGCCTACTTCCAGAAACTACAGCAACCTGCAGCAGCGACATGCACACATAGCATATAATGTTATTAACAGCTACAGTAATAAAACAACATGTTGTCTATAGCCAAATGCTCTTTTCTGAACAAAAACACAATATCAGTGTTGTACTTGGTGACATTCATCCACTGGAACTAAAGCACAACAAACTGTAGAAATGTTGGCTGCACCAGTGCAATCTGTTAGTGTGACTAGGAAAAGCAAAATGTGCCGGTAGGTCTGGGGCATTTACAGAATATAGCTGAAAAATGAACAGCGATTCATGTTCACAGAGCATTAAAAAAAAAAAAAAAAACACAAGCCGACATCCAATTAATTGTGTAACACTCACTCGTAAATTAAACACAATAATATGGTGTAGAGCAGGCAAATCATGTGGAAGTCAAACAGCCCTGCTAATCTCTTTAAACTTTTCTACCTTCATGCATCTTTCACCAGAGAAAAGCAGCAGATGTTCTTGGGAGCTCTGCTCAGTATCACAAGCTCACCTGTAATGGGCAGCTGCTTATTTCCCTCTAACAATAAATACTTTGGAATGGGTCCCCAATCTAAAAAAAAAACCCACATTTCAAACTCCTTTTCTTTTCTTCATTCTATAAACAAGGATAAAACTGATCCTTGTGTGACCAGCAGGGAGAGAAAGTAACCAGTGAGACAACGGCATGAACAGAACAAACCGATTGCTTGGGTTAATATTTGAAGGTTCAGCACACAAACAAACCAGGCCTGTGTGAGGCACAAGTGACATCAGCATTTAGACCAGACTCCATTGTAATTTCTGTTTTATGCATTGCCATAACCCCAACAGCACCAGAGGGAATTTCAAGAAATAACAGCCCTCATTTTCAACCTTGCACGTCAACACCAACACTCTGGTCCAGCATGATAATTAGAGGTTCTTGCACTATGGAATACTGCAGGGACACAATGGACGCACCCAGCCCAAAGAAACACTCTTTTGAGGTTGGTTGAAAAACATGTTTGGCAACACAGGCACACATCTCCTTATAGGGGACGCACCAGAAAGCAAATTCAGGTCTGAGTCATACACCAGCACCATAAGCAGCTGCTGAGGATGAAGCCTCTTCTCCTGTCTGTCCTGCAGCCTAAAAGCAAGGTGCGGTCCCAGGTAAACATTCCCCCTTCCAGATGTCAAGACAAGACTAGACCTGTGACTCCTCCTTATGTGCAGGCGCCTCTGGCTCTGCCCGTCCTAGCCCAAGAGCTTCCTCAAAACTGTCAGGACCAAGCTCACCCAGGTGGATGGCCATTTTTTGGGGGGGGGAATTTAACACTCCTCACATTAACTTACACGTCAGGCTTGTCGTGGCGCATTTTGCTCTGGGCAAAAACCGTCAGAGGAAAGTTGGCTTTGTTTAATTAGCGTCTGTATTTATCTTCAAGTTACCGGTAGCAAAGATTTTATCAGCTGCTGCGGTCTTCACACTGTACAACACTAGTGTGAAATTTCAAGCTGGGTATGAAACTGAGCAGCAGCATTACGAGGCCTAATTCAGGTGGGAACAGGCATAATATTCCATGATACGACCGTCACGTGTGTGACTCACCTGCTGTAGAACTTTGTCCAGGGGCTCCGCTTTGACGACGTCCTCCAACGTCAGCCCCGTCTCCTCTCTGCACTGCTCTGTCAGCTCCAAAGTGTCTGGCTTGACAAGACATCTGTGAAGCTTCCCAACCTGTGAAGGGATTTAGCGTTTCATGACGCAAAACACAGCGTGAACGAAACTGCTGATTTATGACAAACGTGTAGGCTGCAGCCACCAACACTCTTCAGAGTCAAACAACTGACAATGTAGTTGCAAAAAGCACTTAATTGTCAAAGCGTTGTTTACATCGAGAAGCTTACATGCCAAAACAAGAAGGTGTGTTTTCTCCATTAGGTGAAACTACACTCCTCACCTGCTTGTTATATTTTGGTCGCACACCTGTAAAAGGTGAGCTAGGGAGACGGCTGGACAGAGGACTGATGTTAGCTAGCATGAGAGAAAAGCAGCTACAGACGGATTCAGAGAGCACACCATGTTGATTTAAATGTCACACATACTGTTCCACTACAGGCAGACACTATGCCACAAACACTCTGGGTACACAAGAAACCGTACAACGAACGAACGGGTCAGAAAGGTCCGTACCTTTTTCTCATGTAGATCCACAATTTGCCACACCAAGAGAATTATTTCCCTCTCATCCGAACCCAGTTTACCCCCATTTGCACCAGCTGTTGCCCCAAAGAACACCACCAGAGTATCACTGTGCGAAGCCATCAGGGACCACAAGGGTAAAAACTACAATTAAAGCAAAGATTAAAATAAAAATAACACGAGGTTTCACCTTTTCCAAGTGATAAGAAGAGCGAACAAAAGGGCTGGAAACTCAATTGAGGTACACGGAAAGAGAAAAGGAGAGGTTATTTTTCAGAGGAGCCACGACAGAGTTTGCGGTCAGAGACTCTACCTGTTGTTGTACTTGAGTGTGCTCTATCCAGAGATACTGGTTTAACTGGTAAAGAAGGGTGGAAATCTGTATTTCCTTCACACGAACTCCATACCAAGCCCTGTTTTTTTTTCCCCTTCTCCTTTCTATCTACGCGAGGACAGCCCCGGGGGCGTCGCCTATTGGCTGGTTTGCAAAGGTGAGGGCGGGACGCGGACGTGAGCACTGTAATCCTATTGGTCAGAGTTGTGGAATCAGGAAGTAGTCTGGCAAAACAAGGCCCTATACCTCCATGAGGTACAGAGCCAACTGTTTCAAATTGTTTATGCAAAATAGCAGCAAACCAACACATCCAGGTGCAGGGCAACTTCAGTACTGATTGTGATTTTAAAGGGTTATAGTCCTTCAAAGCAGTTTTGTAGGTTACTACTTGCATCAGGTTAAGTCTTCATTAGCAAAGTTGAGAGAATCTGAGTTTTTGAGCTGTTGTAAAATGAGTGGGAGATGTTTGGGTGGCGTGTTCATATTTGTTTTAAGTTCCAGGTTTTTGTCTGTTACAGTCTGAAGAATAACAGTATCAGAACTTATTGCATCCCATATTATCTTAGAAGTGTTGTAGCCCAAAATGTCACACTGGAGTGTTTATGTGTTCACTGTCTCTTGTGGCCATGTAAAATAACAACAGCTACTAAACACTTTACACATTTGGCAGTTTGAGCTCACACTAAGTATAACCCAATAAATCCTTCTTCATGAAGATGATAATGTTCAGTTTGTGTTCAAACTGTTTCAGAGGTGTTGACTCAACTATATGATCATCAACTATATTGTGTTATAAGTGTCTACCCCCTTTACATCAGTGAGTCTAGGCTAAATAACAGACAGTTCAACAGCAGCACAAACCTGTGGGCTCTGTCTGTTAAGGGATAAATGTTGTAGGAGTTGTGACAATGTAGCTAAACTGATTCAAAACTGAAATAAGAGTTTTCCCTTCAATTCAGTTTAATTTGTTGTACATGTTGTAAAGCAAGACAAAAAACAGGAAAAACTTCTAAACTGAATTTGTAAAATAAGCATGGTGGTGGAATGTAATTAGATACATTTACTCAAGTACTGTACTTAAGTACAATTTTGAGGTATCTGTACTTGAGTATTTTCATATTCTGCTACTTCATATTTTGGCTTCACTACAATTTAGAGAAAGATATTGTACTTTTTACTCCCCTACATTTACAATTAGGTCTTTTTCAGAATCAGATGAATAAAACAAAATACAATATAGTCATAAGACTTTATTGATCTCCGGTGAGAAATTCACAAGCTACTCAGCAGTATGTAAAACACTTAAAATTCTAAGTATATAAGGTAGTCAAAACCAGCTCTTCTATTTAAGTAACATTTTAAATGCAGGATTTTTAGTTGTAACAGTATTTTTACACTGTGGTATTGCTACTATTACTTAAGTAAATAATCTGAATAGTAAATATAAAATACTAAAAAAACAAGACAGGATAGACAGGATAAAGATGTACTTGTGAAAAATATAAAATACTAGAATATTAAGACGATTACTACAAACAACCAAAGGCCACTGAAGGGAATGCAGGAAGTGCACAAGGGAGGGACAAACAAACAGACACACGAGGACAGGACAAATAAAGAACAGTGGAATCTGCACTGTATATACTGAAAAGCAACATCTGACATATTGTCAGATTTTTTACTTGTGATTCTTTCATCCTTTCCAGATTCATCCTCTAAAAATCACCACAATGTGGTCTATAACGTACTGCCACTGTTCAATTGTTTATGTTGTCATATAATTCAACTATTTCTCTTTCTGCATGGGGGCAGCTTTCAAATACGCGCTGACGGGAACAGCGTATAATCAAAAAGTTTCCACAGGTCTTTACTGTCCTTGGCCCAGTTCCCAGAATGCCATGTTTTGGAGCACCTGACACTCCCATCTTAGCTTCCTACAGGCCACAGAGTATGGAGAATGCCAGGCTTTTTGTCTGCTCACCTCCTTTCACTCAATTAAATCCCCCAATCTTGAGAGTAATTCCTTGTGTCTCCTTCCAGTTGAACCAGTCTGATTGGTTGAGAGACACACTGGGGAACACTTTATCTGAAATTCTAGACACATAACAACACACAGCAACAACACTGATCTTGATGACATAACACAATAGGCATGTTTATACATGTCTGTCTGTGGCACTAAAATGACAAGCTTTTCTTTCAGCAGGTGCAACTGGTACAAGAAAAGTTTGCCACGACCCAGAAAGTAGCTTTGCTGTAAGTGCTGACTTTTAATATTGTGTTGTGTAAGGTGTATGCAAGTCTTCCACTGAAACACTTCTCGGTGAACTTTAGGGCCAAGAAAGTATTTATTACATTTAAGGGATTGTAGTCTGATTACAAATACTGTGAGGCAAATTGTGATGGGAAAAGGTACTAATTATATTCAACACACTGTATTGTGACCCCAGCATGTCATGTAAGTCGAGGTAGATGGGTGCTTATTATATACTGCTACGAGAGTCATTTTGTGTTCTAGGTCATACGGTATGAACAAATTAACACCACTTTTGAGACAACTGCACCTGCTACCAGTCACCGGTCGTATTCAGTTCAAGCTTCTTTTAACTTTTAAAGTGTTACATGGCCTAGCACCCACATATTTGATCAACCTGGGCTTTCAGACCAAAAAGTTTTCCAGGAGGTGGTCAGCAGATATTAACTAACTTTTCAAACAGCAGATTTGGATGTACGATGGCTCTATCTACATGTCAGCAAAAGGCTCTGGCTTTAGTTGTATTGATGAGGAAGAGGAGATGAACTACAGCAAAGAAGAAGAGGGTGTGGGTCCACCAAAATCCAGTTTTCCTCCATTTTCTTTGTGGTCTGTCAGGTGCTCTGCAATTGGACACGTTGAGGTGTCGTCACAGATAAATAGGAACGGCCACGCAGCCTTGCGCTGCGCTCAGCTTGACGCAGCGCATATACACTCTTGCGCAGCACATCACATAGACATGAATGGGTTTGACAGCAGAACACAGTGCCCACCATGTCCTATCTGAAACGGCTTTACTTGACTGGACAGTTTTCCATTTTATCTTATTGTATTCATTTTTTGTTTCATTTTGATGATATTTCACTGTTGCTCTTATACTGACGATACATTATTGTTGCTTTTAATTTATACTATTGTTTTTCTGTTATTGTTTGATTGGGTATTATTGTAAAGCAACCTTGGGTGTTTTGAAAAGCACTTTGAAATAAAATGTGTTGTTATTATTATTACCGTTTCCTTTTTTCTGCAAATTTGTGTTGTCACAATATTTTATTATTTGAAAAGAACTTAAAACCCATCCAGAACTCACAGGACAATTAGTTAATTCTGTTAAATAGTACATAGGCATACACTCACATTGAAATGCAGTGTTAGACATATACTATGCTGCTTCCTCATTCTATGGGAAAAGTGATACAGAGGCCACTATGCTTTCTTCTGTAATTCGCCTGACACATACTTTTTTGTCACACCCTTGTTTTCTGTCATTTTCAGCTGTCATGGTTAAAATAATACTGTCTCAATAATAAGACAAGGCTCCAAAAAGGTGATGAGCACTGTCATAATGGATTTATCAAATCCTCTGTTCAAATCATTATCACATAAAATGACACCCTTTGGGAAAATCATCAGTGTCGAATGTCAGTTCTTCAGAATGCTCACATTCTTTCTGCCAAAAATTGACATTTGACTTGTCTTCTTTGTTTGTCAACATCAAGTCTGCTGAGTCAGACTCAAAGCGAAATTTGTGCTTACAGTTGTGGAATTGCAGTGTGACATGAAAATCAGTGTATAACTGGCATTTCTACTGTTTGCACTGGTAATAATAAAGTGTTCATAATCATCAGTTATGCCTTGTGCTCAAACGGAGCTTAGAAGGACAGTTTCAGGTACTGCCCATGGATGGATCATGAGACAATGGGCCCCTGAGCACAGACGTGAAATAGGCCCCTATCTCTGGGCATTCAATTGACTTTCCAACACAAACGTTTAACAGTCCCTTTATAATTCTCTGGTCTAGGGGCCCTCTGACCCCTTGGACCCCTGAGCCTGTGCACTTAGGCTTGTTCATTAATCTATCCATAGTACTACTGTATTCTCCCTACAAATGGCTTGGATAACTTTGTAAAATGTGCAGACAAAGTGGAAGGCAAAGCTTGGTTCCTTCCACTTCAACTGCTTCAGCAACACACAGTGTATACATGTAATGTCTGTAAGGTGATGCAGAACTGAAAAAGTTTTGGTTAAATAATAGAAAAAAGACATACACATTTAAAATGAATTAATAATATTAGTAAAATGGCATCAGATGGTTATAAACACAGAGCAGACAGTGCCATCATTATGAAGTGCTTCGAGTGGCTGGTCATGCAGAACGTCAGGTCCATCCTTCCTCCCTCTCACGACCCATTTCAGTTTGCATACAGGTCAAACAGGTCCACAGAGGATGCCATTACTGCTGTTCTCCATCCAGCCCTCACCCACCTAGATTCAAAGAACGCTTATGTGCGAATGCTGTTCCTAGACTTCAGTTCAACATTCAACACAATCATCCCCCAGCAGCTTACACTAAAACTTGGACACTTGGGACTCAAAATCTCTCTCTGCAACTGGCTGCTTGACTTTCTAACAGGGAGGCCACAAAATGTGCGGGTTGGCAGCAACATCTCCAAGACCATCACACTGAGCACATGGGCTCCACAGGGGTGTGTGCTCAGCCCATTGCTCTTCATACTGCTGACCCACAACTGTGTGCCAACCTACAGCACTAACCACATTGTCAAGTTTGCGGATGACACAACTGTAGTTGGCCTCATTACCAATAATGATGAGGCCAACTACAGGAGTGAGGTTGTGACAACTGATACAGTGGTGTAAGAACAACATTTTCCTCAATGTGGGGAAGACTAAAGAGATCATTGTGGACTTCAGGAGAAAACCTCTAAAGCATCCACCACTGACCATTGATGGTGCTGTAGTGGAGAGAGTGAGCAGCACCAAATTCCTGGGGGTGCACATGTCTAAGGACCTCTCCTGGACCAACAACATCACAGCACTGGCCAAGAAGGCTCCAACTGAGCTCTCCGCAAACTGAGGAGAGCCAGTGCCCCACCCCTCATCTTGTGCTCCTTCTACCGGGGCACCATTGAGAGCGTCATCACTGGCTGCATCACTGTGTGGTACAGAGCCTGTACTGCCTCCTGCAGAAGGACCCTGCAACGCATAGTGAAAACAGCCAGCAAGCTCATCGGTGCTCCTCTGTCTTCCCTTATGGACATCTTTAACACCCGCAGAGCCATCAGCATTGCTGATGGCACCTCCCACCCCACACGCTCCCACTTCAGACTCCTGAGAAGGTATTGGAGTCTTCAGGCCCACTCCACCAGACTTACAAACAGCTTCATTCACCAGGCTGTGAGCATGCTGAACACTGTTCACTATCTCTGCCCCTGGACTGTAACACACCACAGAACATAACAAAGATATAAAAAGACTACCTCTGCTGTTGCACAAACTAAATACATTCCCCTTTTTTGTTATATTACAGGTAAATCTGCTGCTGACTGTTGTGGAAACAAACAAACAAAAAAAACTACCTCTGCTGTGTTACCATCTGTTATATTATATGTAAATCTGTTGCTGACTGTTTTTTTTTTTTTTTGCTGGGATATCTGCTGCTGTTGGTCATTTGCAACACTGTCCATGTATACCTCATATGCTATTTGCACCTCATCACCAACGCCCAGGTGATGCTGAACCATCTGACAATCTCCTATTATTATTTGCACTAGTCACTGACTGTACTCAGTTTTGAGTCACAGCTTATTGGCTGTACCGTTTAGATTGATCCTAATTACGTCAATCCAGTTCTTATTCTATTCTATTTTATTCTACTTTATTCTACTTTGGTTCCTAAATGTTATGGCACCCAATACTAGGTGAGAGAGAAACAGTATTTTGATTTTCTGTATGTCCTGCACATATGGTGAATTGACAATAAAATCCTTGAACCTTGAACCATCTGCTGGTTGAAGAGGACAGTTTTTGGGCAGTAATGGCAACAGACAAACTCACTATGCTATAATTAGAGAATATTATAAATTATTAGCTGACTTGTGATTTTAAAAATATCTGAAAGTGGTGGTTTGAGTTTTATTAGACTGACAAACATGAAGACATGATTCCGCTTTTCACCGCTCGCTAAACGGAACATGCAGATTTTCATTTTGCAATCTTTTCTTTGAGAGGAAGTTGAAAGCATGACTGTCTGTAGTGGGATACCAGGACAACTGCTCATTTGTTTGTCACTTGTGAAAAACATTTTTACAATAATAGTAACTTTTGGATTCCACATGCAATTAAAACACAGCATTACAGGTGAATTAAATGAGTTTTTGTTAATTGATATTACAGCTTCCCAAGACAGAAATAGGGAATGAGAGTTTCATTTTTATGAAGGTAGCCAAAAGCTGTGAGAGAAAAGTTTTTTTAAGAAGTGACACATGCAACCACAGAATTACAGATAAAAACCAATTGCATGGTGTCTAACCATGTTCCCACACTTACAGACAACAAGTTTTAAACGCTATTAACAACATAATCAATACTATTTAGAAATAATAATAAAAATTGTTTTTACTAATAACTTGCACAGAGACATCTTACGAGGATATAATTATTTATTGTACTATTTTTGAACACTAAATGGCAACTCAGTACAGATGTAGATAGATATGAAACATTTATAAATACAATACATGTAAAATAGATCATTTACAGAGTCTCACACAGATAAACTATGACATCCTGTTTATCTGTGTTGTAATTTCATACAAAATGAACTTCACTTCAGTCAAAATTTCCTTCATTAAAAAATACATATGCACATCAACATCTACATGGAAACACAATTTGTTATCAGGATGGGTTATTTTCACACATTTGTATTAATATATCTATTTGGTCCTTTGACTCCAACACACACTGAGAGCTGCTGGTCTGATTGTTGCACCTCTTGGACACAAAGGACACCTCCCTGTTGCCCTCACCTGGGGCAGTGCTGGAGATGTGGCGGAAGAGCTTCTGGATACCCGTGTCACTCAGGGAGCTCCTGAAGGAGCGAGCTGCAAACATGTAAAGGATGGGGTTAACACTGCTGCTGATGAAGCCCATGGCTCCAGCAATGAAGGCCATGGTGCTGCGGACATTTTCCAAACTATGTGCTGTTTCAGGGAAGGAGTTTTCAATGGCCAGGTTGACGAGTGACAGGACATTCCCAATGTGGTGAGGTGTCCAGCAAATGGCAAACACAACCACTACACTGGCGATAAGGACAGTAGACTTGCGTTTGGACTTGAAGGTCATCTGTGCAATCCTGCTACAAAGGCAGCTGTAGCAGACCACCAGGATGGAGAAGGGTAATATGTAGCCCACTAGTGTCTCCAGCAACACACACACCAGCTCCTGGGTTACAGAAGTGTAGGACCGGTACAGACAGTGGTCCGCACCATAATCGTCCCCAACAACCTGTGTTGGGATGACAGGGATGCTGAACAGGAATGCTGCAGTCCACAGGGCCAGCAGGACTTTATTCAGAGCTTTCTTTCTCCTCCAGTTAACCGAGTCAAAGGGATAGCGCACAGCCATAAAACGCTCCACGCTCATGACGGTGATGAGGAAAACACTGCTGTACATGCAGGCGTTGATCACGTACACCATGGCTTTGCAGCAGGCCTCTCCAAACACCCAGGAGTAGGCCAGAGAGTAGATCCACAGAGGCAGAGTGATAAGGACCACTAGGTCTGCAGCCGCCAGGTGCAGGATCAGCACCACAGTGTGGGAACGCTGCTTGACATGTCTCAGAATAGTCCAGATCACCAGCAGGTTCCCCGGAGCTCCCACCAGGAAGGACAGGCCCAGGATCACGCAAGCCATTGTCCCATCGAACTTCTCAGGGGCCATTTCCTCCAAAGAAGACTGCTCAGCTGAGTGGTTCATGCTGCAAGTGTATGTGCTGACAGTGGGGTCTACATGTAAAGAAAAACTAAGTGCTGCACAAGCAAGTCTTCACTTCCCTTTTTAGGTAGACTGCACAGGAAAAAGGTTTCCTCACAGGCCTCTTTGAGACAGAGAGGTGATTCATGCATGCATCATAAGTTCATTTTTTTCATTTAAGATCATAGATTAGGGTTTTAAAAAGGTTTCAAAAAAGAGTTTCAGTAAAAGAGAAGCCTTTTAGAGAAATGGTTATGATCTAAAAGGAAATAACCTCAGCTTCTCCAAGGACACAGTAACATTAACAGAAGCATGTGCACGACCATGTTCACTGGAACAAAGCTTGAGAAGCATTCTTGGTATAGTAAATTTCAAATAATTGGAAAATAAGTAATAAGTTGTTGCTGTGACTGTCTAGCTTGTCACTCAGGTGCTGTAAAATTTGTGAAATGCTCCAAAGTGCTTAGGATAATCATATGTTTCACTGTTTGATGTCACTGACTGGAGGACCATGGGTCTGTTGTGTACACCCCAAATCAGAAAAAGTTGGAACAGTGTGTAAAATCAAAATTAAATCTGAAATAGTGATGTTTAAATAATCTTTCTTGTATTACACTGAAATCAAAACAGCAGCGCATTATATGATATGATACCTCATCAACTTTATTCATTGTTCAAAATAAACACTCACTTCAATTCTGATGCCTGCAACACATTCCAAAAAAAGTTGGGACAGCTGCATTTCAGGGCCAGTAATGAGGTAAAACACAATCATGTGTTTGGCTGCACTGACATCCATGAGTAAATGTGAAACAATGCTGAGAGGATACAGTACTGTATATGTTAATGATGAAACACAACACATTACTTTTGTCAGTGCTCTTTTAGCAAGTTTCACAAGGCTTTCAAAACATTAGACAATAAAGGCCTTCATATTTAAATGCAGTTCCTCAATTAACTCCAGAAGTGCCACATTTTACCATCACCAGAGTCTCAGGGATTCAGTTGTTTGCTCTCATAAGACATTAGCTCTACCTGTGTGTTTGCTGCCCTCTGGCTAGTCTGCTGTTGTACTACCAGTTTGTTGAGTTTGCTGTTGTGGCCATTTCTTGGAACAGCCTTAGCAGTCGGGACTTCTTGAGAATCCCTTGTAAGTTCCCCGCAAAGAAGACATATAACAGAGGATTCACTGAGAAAGAAAGAGAAAGAAAATACTCTTTGATGCAAATTCATGTTCTATAACTGATCCTATGCAAACCAGATCGATAATGTTGATTATGGTGAGGTAGCCACCACAGTGTGGATAAAAACCATTGTTTTCTGTTTGGAGTGGAAACTAATTTTCTTGAGCTCAAGAATGAAAAAGGGAACTACAAAGCCCCCCAAGGTCTCCAGGCACAACAGGATAATCGCTTGAGTCATAGAGTTGAATTTTTTGTAAAAACACTGTTCAGTTCCATCGATTTCACTCACAGACTGTGTCAGAGCAGTAGGTACACCTAGAAGCAGAGCAAGGAGCCACAAAAGTACAAGACATCTATTCAGGCTGCTCTTGCTCTTCCAGCGTAACATTTCAAATGGATGGCAGATGGCTAGAAAGAGCTCCACACTCATAAGGGTGATGAAAAAGATGCTGCTGTACATCTAGGCGTTGATCACGTACACCATGGCTTTGCAGCAGACGTCTCCGAACACCCAGGAGTAGGCCAGGGAGTAGATCTACACAGGCAGAGTGATGAGGACCAGCAGGTCTGCAGCCGCCAGGTGCAGGATCAGCACCACAGTGTGGGAACGCTGTTTGACATGTCTCAGGATAGTCCAGATCACCAGCAGGTTCCCAGGATCACGCAAGCCACTGTTGTCCCACCATCGAACTCATGGCCCATTTCCTCAAAAAAAGAATGCTCGACTGAATAATTCATGTTGGGAGTGCATGTGCTAGTGGTGTCTGCAGGAAATGAAAAACAACGTGTTGCACAAGCAAGTCTTCACTTCCCTTCTTTGAATAATCTGGGTGATTGTAAGCATGTGTCTTAAACCCTCCTTCAGCAGGGAGTCAGAAATTTGGCCAGTCTACTAACTAACATTATACTGTATATGCATATATTACAGCTAATAGTATAGTAACAGTCTAATATTTTTATTTCATGATTTGCAATATCTGTCACATAGTAAATAAAAAGCTAAGACAGCATCCTTGATGTCTTTACTCTCTCCCAACACACTTTGCGTTTACATTTTTAACAGTGCTTCAACACGCCATAACTTCGGGCTACAGCTATTGCATGGACAGCAACCACCTGTATAATTAATAATTACTATAGTTTTCGTTTTCGCCAAGACAATCAGAACTATTCCTGAACCCAGGACTCTGTATGAAATAAGTTGTTTCTTTAATTTAATACGAATTAAAGTGTAGAAACAATGGGAACTCTGTAGAGCCCAATGTAGACCAAAGTAACAGCAATGAAATAAGATGCAGATGAAGTTATTGCGCCAGTGCATGATGGGAGGAATCCCAGCACATACACCCATGAATACTGTATATGAATATATTATATACCTGCAATCATATGATTTCACACTTCTTAATGGTGAGTATCAGGAATTCACGATACATCTTGCAGTAAATGAATGCATTAAATATCACGAGTCATGAGTTAGTTAAACATTACTTATATAATTTCTACACTTACTATACAGTAATTATCATCATCATCGCCATTATTATCCTAAAAAGAAACATCTAGTTGTCGCCTTCTAGAAACTCCTGTATCAGCTCGTCCATAAATAGTATTGCAGGATGTACTATTATTAGGTAGGCCTAAATAAATACGTAAATATCACTACGGCCTAAATACACTTTATATACATTTTTATGGTATTTTATTATTATTCTCGCATACGTTATTTTTCAAGTTTAACTGACACGATGAAAATATATTTTAACTGACTAAGGTTACAAATTTAAAGTCGTCATGATGACGTTGTTACAATGCGCAGCCAGCGCAACCTCCCAGTCTGCTCGGTGGAATAAACAAGATGATGTTATCGGTGTAGTAGTGTTATAAGTTCATCGCAGAACACAACAAGGGACGCCGGATATTCTCTTTCGTTAAATTTGTGACAAACCGTAAGTAACGATGTAATGCGAGATTGCTGTCTGGTGCGTGCTAGCAGTGCTTAGCTACGTAGCTAGCTGTTAGCTTAAGCTACTAGTATTAGGTAACGTTAGCTAGGTAAATAGCTAGGAAACGTTATGAACATTAGCCTCACTGTGGTATTTGTATTAACCAGTTTGGTCGCTGACTCATTATTTTCACTTTCGTAGGCTATGTTATTCCATTATATGTCACCAAACACAGTGTAATGTGGAATTAATTAGCATTTTACCAGCTGTTTGAGCTAACATGATGTTAGCCTCGCTTGAGGGCTGAAAGTAACGTTATTCTATGTTCATGTACGACTCCTACATTTTTGGAAACCTAACATAATATTGCGCCACTGTCCCAGCCGGCTATTTCAAAATCATTATTAAGGCATACAGTACATACTAACACGAATTAGTCACGATCCTATGCTTTAGTATTTACGTGATATTATTAGCAAAGTTTGGCCAACGTTAGCTAACCCACTTTTGTTCTCGCAGGTTGTTCACAGACTAAGAAGTGGACCGCAGATACTGCAATGCCTCTGCTGTTTTTGGAGAGGTTCCCTTGGCCCAGCTTGCAGACCTACACAGCACTGAGTGTGGCTTTGCTTGCTGGTAGCATTTTCAGTGCCTACACCACTGTGACTGATCCTGGCTTTGGGGCGTTGGAAACAGAGGAGAGCCCATCTCCCTCGGAAGTGAATCTTGATAACCCAAACAATGATATTAGTAATACAGAACTGGCAACCACTGTCCTGTGGTATCTTGTCACAGACAGTCTTTTCGTATGGGTGAGTGTCACCCAGTTTGGGGCTTGGTTGCTTTATAAGAAGAAGAAGAAGATAAGATGATGTTCTTGTAAAAACTAATTGTCTCTTTATTTTCTGTACTTCCCAAGGTGCTGGTCAACACATTCTGCTGCTTTCTGATGTTAATCGCTAAAATAATTCAATATGTGGTGTTTGGTCCACTGAGAGTCAGTGAGAAACTGGTGAGTCTGTGGATTTAACAGTTTTTAAATGATGACTACCGGTATTTTCATGTCTGGGGCTAGTAACTTCTTTTTAGTAAAGGCCCAAATAGTCTTTGCAGCTCTTCTCGAGTGTAGACCTATCAGAAAAAGATGTCTCATCTCCTCTGTTCTTTGTTTATTCTCCAGCACTTGAAAGATAAGTTATGGAACTTCATCTTCTATAAGTTCATTTTCATCTTTGGCGTATTGAACGTGCAGACAGTGGATGAAGTGGTCATGTGGTGTTTGTGGTTCTCTGCCCTGGTCTTTCTCCACCTCCTGGTGCAGCTCTGCAAAGACCGATTTGAATATGTAAGTAGTATTATAAACTCTTTCTTTCTTTTCTTCTTTACTCTTTCTAGTAAAAAAAAAAACAAAAAACTTGATGATTGGGGCTTGACAATAAACCAGATTTATTGAAGTTTAAATAAATTATTATTCTGTTATGGACCCAAACGTATTCTCATCATAATGTTTGATAAATAGTCTGAAATCGGTTCATTTGAGAAGAGATACGTGTCTAACAATGCTGAACCAGCCTACAAAATAAAACCAAAGTCTAGAATCTCTCATGGGTCATATGGCCATATTGGATCTAATCAGTACAGATGCATCAGAAATAAGCAAACACCAGCTATTTTTGGTGTTGACCAGTAAATATAAACATTTTTTATACATGGATAATTTTATAGTGTCAGTACCATGAAAGAGAACATGTCATAAGTACACATGTACCTGGAGATGATTTGGTTTGTTGCTACAGGACCTTCCAGCACATTGAGTTCTTACTTGTTACAGAGGGACACATTACTTTAGAAATGTCAGTTAGAAACAGTATACCAGTGTTCTTGCCATATTACTATTATGTAGGAAAAGGCCAGTGTGGCAGTAAGCAGGTATATGAATCTGTAGAGTAGCACAGAGAATTCAAGGATTTATTTAAAATGTCTGCTTTATTTGTTAATTTGCTGTAAGATATTATAGGAGATAATAGATATGCCTAAATATCTCGGTATGAAACCTGTAGTCATGTAATCATAGCGGTAAAAAGGCTGACATTTGGTGACACCTGATCAATGAACCTATATTCTTTTTAAAGGGTTTGCTGAGTCCCCCAACAACCTACTGTGCTCTGCAGTGGACCTATTAATAGTTCCTTTTAGTGGCATGTTAGGCTAATGATACAGTTTCAGTCAGTACATTGACATGTCCCTATATCAGATGGTGCTCTGCATGTTGGGAGAAACAAAATATCAGATTTTAATCACCTCCTTGAAAGCGCTGACATTTAAATTGGGAGTTAAGTTGGTCTGTTGCTTGTGATGTAATGTTGACTTGTTTGTGTACCAGAAGGTCATTTCTGCCAGCTGTGCTTAAGAATACATCAGTTTATGTGTAAACCTCCCCTAGTCTTTGCCTGTAACTATGCATTCATGCATGTACTTTTTTGGTTGATGTGTGTCAGCTGTGTTAGCTCAGCTGTCTTCCGTTTGTTTTTCCCTGTGTCTGTGGGTTCTAGCTTTGGGGTGAAGATCCCACACGTAGGTTAAACAGCTAAAGATGATGTATATCATGTTGTCAGTGTGCTGGGGAAGCCTTGTGTTATTAACATTTTACAGAGCTGATAAACAGCTCAGCTGTTAAAATGTTTCTGAAGGGGTCCTAAAATATATTCTACTATACCCAGTCCAGGCAGTGCTAGCTATCATTTGAAAGTCTTAAGCAATCCTTTCCCTGTACATGGGAGTTTTAGGGTTATGTGTGAAAGGGGTTTATTGATTTAAATGGTTTGTACGAGTTGAGTATGGTACTGAGCCTAAAACTAACACATGCTTATTGATCCATGGTTAGTAGTGCATGGCTGTGTGTGAGCAGTTACAAAAAACCTTATGTTCTTTGCTGGTTGAATGCATTCTTTTGTTTCAAGTCTGTTCCCCTTTAAAATGTATTTTAAATGAATTTTTCTGTTAGGTGTTTGTCATAAACAGCTGCATGTTTAATGAATATTTCATTTGCTGTCATATTTCATTTTGTTGTATTCCTTAAATGTGAACTTCTGTTTCCAGCTGAAATCCAAAAGTAAATTCCCAGATTATTAAAACTAGTCAGTTGGATTTGTATAGCTCAGTGTTAGGTAAAATGTTTCAGTGGGCTGTACAGACCTACATGAGCTTCACTTCCTGAACGTGCACAGCCTCTCCATGAGGACAAAGAAAAACCTTAGCACCTAAGGAAGCTTTGAGAGGAACAGCCTACTTACAGTTGATGCTTTCTTTTCCCCAGCTGTCATTCTCCCCCTCCACTCCCATGAACAGCCATGTGCGAGTGCTTTGTCTGCTGGCCTCCCTGCTGCTGAATTGCTGTGGCCTGGCTGTGGTCTGTGGTCTGCTCGGAGCTTCCCACGGTGCACACACCCTCTCCTTTATGGCAGCAGAGGTGAGAACCTGGATGGAGGCCTGCTGTGTGGACGGAGGCATTTGATCACATGTAGCACAGTCAGTTGTGGACTTTCTTTGGGCTCAAATTTGTTTTATTGTTGCTAATGTCTTAGGGTGTCTTCAAATCTGCCTTGTTTCGTCTGTCAGAATTAAACTCGAGTTTGTTTTCCCCCTCGGTGCGTTCTGTTTGAGCAGGTCTCAACACAGCAGTCACATTGACAATCTAAACAACCACACCAGGACTTGTGCTGGATGTGGTTCTTGATCCGCTACTATGGAGCGGCTCATTTGCGGTGGGCACGTGATCTGACTTTGATCCAGCTCAACTACAAGTCATACTCAGCATGTTTGAGCTAAACCATCAGTCAGTTCAAGGCACTTCAGTGCCAGTTGTCACCAGTTCAGAGCAGGCACCTCGTCCTGTGTTTGGGTTCTTGTTCTCCACCTAGACTTATTTAATCAGTGATTGGATGAGAGCGTTCTCACACGGCTTGTACTGGTGCCTTTAGGTTCGCTTGGATTTTCTGTGTGAAAAGAAAACACACCAAGGGGAAAATACACAAAGTTTATAAACTGATCCACTGTTTCAGACTAGAGCAAATGAACTGCAGCTTTGGGTAAATCAGACCCTGTTTATCAATCCTGGGTTTTCTTAAAATCCAGGAATCTTGGCATATTCAAGCAAGAAGCCAAAAATCTTGAGAGCAAATAAATCTTTATTTTTATTAGAATAAATGATAAATCAGTAAAATAAAGGGGAACACCAAAAGTGCTGTTCTTACACCGCATAACAGCAATGCCCCAGAGAACTTCCTCAGTTCTTTAGTTTTACACAGTGATCACATTTTGCATTATTACTGCTGTCTTCTGTGGCTCATGAGCATGGCTGACTGGGGCATTAGAGTCATCCCTGATGGTTTTAGTTGAAACAAATGTCTGTTGTAAACAAAAGCCTTCTTATTTGATGCATGATAACGACATCATGTTGACTGGTGGGCTTTTTTCTTCAGTGTCTTCTGGTGACTGTGCGTACTGGGCATGTCATCATGCGGTAAGTCCTCCTTATCAGGTCTATTCTTTTCAGTACCTTTAGTCCAGTATCAAAACTCAGTAATGCTGTCAGTTTTGTCTCAATGGCAGCATCACCCACCATCCTGCTTAAATATCTCTAGTGTTTTATGACCTGAAAGAGCTATGTGTCTTCCCTCAGGTACTCCATTCATCTGTGGGATCTTAACCATCCAGGGACTTGGGAGAGTAAGGGAACATATGTCTATTACACTGACTTCATCATGGAGCTAGCGATGTTGTTTCTGGACCTCATGCACCATATCCACATGCTGGTAAGACCGATATTGTGAAAATGTAGTCTGACCTTGCGTCTCTTTCCAGTCCACTAATCATCCACCTTTTGCTAATTAGCTTTTTGGAAACATCTGGCTGTCCATGGCGAGCTTGGTTATCTTCATGCAGTTGCGGTATCTCTTCCATGAGGTTCAGCGCCGTGTCCACCGACACAAGAACTACCTTCGTGTGATCAGCAACATGGAGGCCAGGTGATAAGAAATGTTCATTTCATTGTTTTTCCCTTTTTATCTTTTTGTTGTGGGTTTTTGTTTGTTTATTTGTAATGAAAGCATTGTTTTTTCCATCAGCCATTATTTGTTTCATTGTTATTTACATGTACTTTAAACTTTGTACAGATTTGCTGTTGCTACTGCCGAGGAGCTGGCAGCTAATAACGATGATTGTGCCATCTGTTGGGATACCATGTTGACAGCACGCAAACTACCCTGTGGCCACCTCTTCCACAAGTAAAGTGGTTTATCAGTCAGCGGTATTTGTCTCTAAGCATGATCCACTGGCCTGTGGCTCCATAGCCTAGACAAACAAGGTCTTTATTTATCAGAACAAAGACGGCCAATGGAGTGACTGCAGGAATAGCAGGCAGCCTGATATACTAGCCTTGAATGCTGTATGAATGTACGAGTTCAATATAGTTTTGTAGTGAGCCTGACAGCAGAACAGTCTTTCTTTGTGTTTGATTTGGATATTTACCTGCTACAGTTTGTTGAACATCCTCAGCTTCTGATCCTGATGTTTAGCTACAGAAGACTTGTCCTGAGCCTTACATGAATGTCACATTTTTTTTATACAGAGCTAACTTGTCTGTGTGTTTGTGTTTCCAGCTCTTGTCTGCGCTCATGGCTCGAGCAGGACACCTCATGTCCAACATGTCGGACATCCCTGAACATTAATGGGGATGGGGGCCAGGCGAGAGGCCAGCAGCAGGGCGGTGATTTGGAAGACAACATCGGCCCTGTAGGAGCTGCTCCAGAGGCCAGACCCCATATCAACCAACACAACCACTTCTTCCACTTTGATGGTGAGCCTGACAGACACTAGTCTAAGGACGAACCTGGTTGTGGAGTTACCTGACACCAGTTGGCTGTGTGACAGTGACTGATAAAATCCATGCATCCTCTTACAGGATCTCGCATTGCCAGCTGGCTGCCCAGTTTCTCAGTGGAAGTAATGCACACTACCAATATCCTGGACGTTGCTCAGGCCAACAACTCCCAGCTCATGGCCATGGTGAGTTCATGTTTATATTCTGGTCATACTCTTGTTGACTTTGAGCTGATATAGAGGTAGGAGTTTGAGCCAGGCACTGAATCTTTTTAGACAGAGCCTGATTTTTTTTTTATGCTTTATTTGCATGAAGCTAGTTCTGTCATAATTGTATCCCACTCCTCACTCCCTGTTTACTAGAAGCCAGTTGTGTCAGAATTTTGCCTGGGTTGTGCACCATGGCCCAAATGCTCTTCACATCATTACTTTCTCACATTGGGTTTGACTTCCTGGTAAATGCTTGATTTTCTCTTATTTTAACCACCAGATTTAGTAGAAACAGCTGTTTACAAAAGATGCCAAGTATATTTAAACTAAAGGTTTTCTGGTGTTTTAAATAGCTATACAATCTTGTCTATAATAATCTTGTAAGTCACTGAGACTGTATAATAGTGTATGGCATCACTTCTGATTTGCCTTCTGGTCATCAGGCTCATCAGGTCCAGGAGATGTTCCCTCAGGTGCCCTCCTACCTGGTTATGCAGGACCTGCAGTTGACCCGCTCTGTGGAGGTCACCACAGACAACATTCTGGAGGGGCGCATCCAGGTCCCTTTCCCAGCACAGGTCCGTAAGTTGTGGGTTAAATGTTAGCAGCAGTGTCATTGTTTGTTTTTCCACTGATGGCTTTAATAACACAGTGCTCTCCTGGCTCTTTGTTTAATGTTGATAACATACCTGTGGTCTGTCTCACTGTGTGTCCGGCTTCCTTCCTTAGGCCATAGAGCATGGCCCTTTACAGGTGAACCCTGCTCTAGATGGGCAGGCAGGGCCCAGTGGAGCAGCTGAGCAGGGCCTCAGTGAATCAGACAACATGGAGGTCAGAGGAGGTCGCTTCTCCAAGTCAGCTGAGGAGAGGCAGAAGATGTTAAAGCAGAGGAAAGAAGAGATGCTCCAGCAAGCACGCAGGTTGGTGCAGCATTAGGAAGAGGTGCTGAGTTTTATATTCAAAAGAAGTAAACTTCAAAATAAATGTTGCTTTTTTCTTGCTGTTTTTTTTTTGAAAATTAATTTTTGGGGTCAGGAGTGTGATCACACTTCATCATGCATCACAATTTAGTGTTTTGTGAAAACAGATCTTCTATAGGTGCAGTCCATTTATCATTTTTCTGTGTGAGACAAGTGTGTTTCAGTCTGTGAATCATGGCAGTACAAAAAAGTGTGTAAAAGCTTCCTTGTCCACGATAAGAGAATAGTTGGAAGGCTCCGGTGTACATAACTAACAAGTAGTAATATGGCATGTTTATTTATTTATTTATTTTTAAACCATTTGTTCACTAATGGTATGGAATCATCTTGCATATTTTGTTCCCATGATTATATCTCTACATGTTCATTACTTCCTTGTAGGAGATACCTGAACAAAACTCCAGAAGACCTGGATGAGGATTTGCCTGGACTGGAGGACACTCTCCTAGAATTGGACTCAACTGTGCTGAGGCGTAGTACCATGGCAGCAGCCGCAGAGAGACGCATGCAAAACCAACAAGATCCTGCACCCTGATACACAGGTTGACATCATCAGAAGAGTCTGCCACATCATCATCCCAAGAGGCACAGACAGAGTTACTTCAATCTTTCCCCATTTGGTGTACAGTCAGTGGTCACCGCCTATTCAAACCTGTAATTAAAAAGCATTGCAAACATGCCCTTTAGACTGTTCTGGGCTGTTTAAACAAAGTGGGACTATTGTGAATGGCCTCTACAGTATTTGGAGTATTGTATAAATTGATGGGTGCAAGTCGAGAAATGCGAGGTTGCATTGCTGTTTATTCACGTGCCACATGTTGTAATCACCAGCTTCGATAGTGTCAGTATCTGCCATGATTGAGACTGGCTGTCAGAGATGAGCATGCTTTGCATTCAGAAGGTCCAAGTCTTTACAAGAGGGGTGTGAAGGTGTCCTTATTCGATTTGGATCCTTATTTGTTTTCCTTTCATCAGATTTTTTTTTCCACTTGTTCTGCTCATTCCAGGAAGCTCTGCATACTGAATGGAGAAACTTGTGTGTGCTTATTTCACCAGTTTCCACTGTGAATTCAGTGTAGAAAAAATAAGATATTTCTTACCCTGGAGTGAGAGAATTTCACTTTAGTATTGTTCAGCCTCTCTGTCAAATATGAATGTTTCTGTCAAAGTGATGCTGCAAACAAAGTGTTTCTGATCCGCATGGGTGCTGCTGTACTTAGTGTGTCATGTCACCCATTGCACTCAGTTTGCATCCTGGTATTTAACCGAAGGGGAGGGCAGGGTATGTACATCTTTTTCTAATACCAGTGCTCCCAGGTAGCAAAGGGGGTGTATTACATTTTGTACAAGTACAGTGGGTATCATCTTCTAAGTCTTTCTTAAATTACCTGCTGATGTTGAGCTGTGAAAATCTTTCTGTTGAGTCTGGAGTTCTTGGTCATCTGTATCTACTGTTTTTTTTAAGGTGTGTAGAAATAGTGAAGTTGGCAGCAGCTGGACTTGCTGCATGGTATTTTGGAGACGTTTTGTCTCTCATTCAAGAGGCTTCAAGCAGTTTTATCAGTGAAACTCTTGTTCTTTCAGTAGAAATGATGAAGCATCTTGGATCAGCAGCAAAACATTTTCAAGATGTCACAGCAAATCCAGTTGCCTCTGACTTTGACTTCTTGATATTGTATGAGCTAAATGGCTAAGAATCTTTAAGAAAGAATTTTTAGGGTGTTTTATTTGTGTAGCCTTTGCCTACTAACTTTGAAGAGTGCTAATTTAAAAATCTAATGTACTAGCAAATAATAATCTGCTGCCAAAAAACTTATTACAGTAATATACAGCAGTGTGTAATATACACTGAGCCCTTTTTACATGTCGTCACATTAGACTAAATGCGTAGCTGGCTGAGACATATCGCCGGACACGATAATGGAAACTTTGTATGGTAAGTGTTTGATTTCTGTGATTACACCGAGGGCCTGAGGGCAGGGTGGGGTGAGATCTGCATGAAGTTAGACAAATGCTTTTGTCTCCTTCCTCTTTATCCCAAAGAACAGTCCACAAACTCACTAAAAGCTGAAGTGTTGTGATCTTTATTGTGTTCATTTTTATTGTTCAAACTGTTTGGCTGTGTTGCCAGAGGACAGGATCAGACTTAGGTTTCAAATTCCAATTAGTCAAAATGTAAAGAGGAAAAAAAGACTGCAGTTTTGTTTTCATTTTCAGTTTATTGTATAGTTATTTAATGACTAAAAGCGGTGAGATGTTTTTCTTTTCATGGGCTGTGTCATAGCCATTACTTCTTTAATCAAAGCTGAAATACTTTTTTCAGACTGAGCTTTCCTGTATTTTTGTGCCTAAATCAAAAATAATTTAGTCATGGACAATTTCTGTAAATCTAGTTTTTGTAAAATATGTTAATACCAATGGTTCAATAAACAGAGCTTCTACAGCTTTTTAGCAAAACGCAGTAAGTGAATCTTTTTGTTGTGATTAACCCACGTCTGGATGACCTTGGCCTTGCAGTTGTAAACCACCTTGTTTACATTAAGACGAGCTGGCTGTTACATTTGGCAGCCCACAGGTTAAAAGCCAGATTTCACTGTGAAAACTGGCTGGAGTTTTGTATCAGTCTAGATATAATACGACGTGGATGTTGTGTGTGATATTTGTAGTAATGATCTGACGTCACTGGGACGCGCCGATACCGCCAGCGTCTCTGCCACGTCATACAGAAGGGATCCAGGGCTCCAGGGCTCAGTATGCCAGGCGGAAACAGATGAACACACCCACGCTGGCCACCTCAGAGAAGTAGCCCAGCCTCATTAAAACCACGGTTATCAGTGTATGTTCCCTCAATCTGAGAATTCAACCGGGCTGTATCTTCCTGTTTGTTTTATCGGTAAGTAGTTAATTAAGTTAGCTAGCTAGCTAGCTGCGTAGCATGCCAGGCGATCCCCAGGTAACATTTGAGGTGAAGTTAGAACTCTGACGCTAGTTTGGTTTGTTACATTAGCTTATGTGAAGGTATTTTCATGTAGTCGTTTGACAGGACTGGATATTGTGTTATATGCTAGTTACTTGGTTAGACGTGTCAGTGATTTTGCTGATCTCTTATGCTGAGGTTAGCTAGCCTACACATTGTTGACGTTTCGTAAACATTTGACTAGTTCTCTTAGTCAACTTGAGAAGTTTGGTCAAAGGTAATATAGACAGCTACAGGGAAACGCTCTGCCTTCGCGGCACTAATTAAGCACGTTCACACAGTCATGTTTTATTTGTATGGCTTGGTGATATGGAAAGTGATGATGTTAGTGAAGATTATTGTGTTTTTGCTGCCATGAAAACATCATTACAGCCTTTACCAACAGAACTGACACCGATATCCGTGGGTGTTGATCTGTGAATGGACTTCTGTACAATGGGCACTCCTCCTATTTAATATCCTGTAGCATATCCTGGAAAAAGCATGAAAGAATACTTCTGAATGATCCTTTGCTGGTGGGTGTGCCCTTGCATATACCAGCTGACCTGACAATTGGTGCTTGGCAGTGAAATAATGACATCTTTTTACCAAGTACATTTGTAATTGTCAGGTCAAAGTCCTGTGCAACTTAAAATGATGCTCCCAGCCCAGACTGACAGTATGAACATGTTAACACTTTCAGCTCATTCATCATCTCTGAGGAATTTTTAAAAGGCCATTCTATTCATTGCATCACACTTTCAGTATTTTCCACACAAACTGTTCATGGGTGTGCATGTGTTGTGACGTTACCTGTCTTTGTGTGTAATTCCTAAGCAGGGCTTGTGGAATGCTGCTGGACGAGACTCCGCTGTTTGATCCGTCTCTGCTTCAGGACCTAGACTGGAGTAGCAACGGTGTCTCCTTCTCTCCCCCCATCTCCCCTTCTAGTCCGGGGGAAGGCTTGGTGCTCAGGCCCCTCTGTACAGCAGACTTCAGCAGAGGTGAGGCAGACACTAGGTGGACGACTTACTTCTGACTAGTCCTTGTGTTGTCAAGAGAAAAAAAGAACATTTCCACTTTGTGACAGATAATGTGGAGGGCATGTGTTGTTCCTTGGTGTCTGAGATGTAATGTAATAAGAACATAAAAGCTTTCATTTGAGGAAATCAAGACTTCACAAGATGTAGAGTGGGAATGTGCTCAGATATTTTCATCAGCTGTTCTGTTGTTTTTGTGATCCAGGATTATTCAAGGTTTTATCTCAACTAACCCAGACAGGCGATGTCACTGCAGAGCAGTTCATGAGTAAGTCAGTTTTAATCTAATGCTTCTTTGTTTGTTGAATAAGTGAGATTCTGATCTTCTTTGTTCAGAACATTGTCACCGTTCTGATATTTTAATTCCCACCATGCTCCCAAATTTTTAAACACTCATCAGTTCTTCTTAGCATCACACTTTGGAAAAGAATAAATTCTCACCGTGGAAAACAAACCTCAAACAAAACCAATGTAATAGCAGATCAGTAAAACCAAATTAACATATGTATTGTCTGTTGGCTTCCAGAAAAGTTTGACCATATGAAGAAGACAGGAGACTACTATGTCATCGTGGTGGAGGACATAAACCTGAGACAGATTGTTGCTACGGCCACATTGATCACAGAACACAAATTCATCCACTCCTGTGCTAAGGTAAATTGCTTCCTAGCAGGCAATTTGTAGAATTAAGAAAATGGAAGACTGGAATTTCTCTGTCCCTTAAAGAAGTTGCTCATTTAGTAATTCGGAGGTTGTAGTTGAAAAGGTACATTCGCACATTTCTATAAAGATGCAGTGTGTGGTATTTAGTGACATCTAGCGGCGAGGTTGCAGATCGCAGCGTTCAGCAAAAACGTACAGCCCTCAGTTAGTTCACAGTGATTACCGTAAATGTAGGACAAATTGCGCACTTGGAAAACAAGTGCGGGCGACTTGACCAAGCAAAAGCTAACCCGCGTCTCACTTGACTGCAGTGGGTTACCCAGCACTGGCCATGTTCCAGCTAAAGCTATCAAACAAAAGCTTGCATTTAGGTTAACTTTAATTGTTAGGCTAAATTACCTGTGTAGCAGAAAACAGGCAACTTTTGTGTCATTCTGGAAACATTTGTCCCCTCATCAAGGATGTCCATCTGGGTAAGGCCACAACAGAGTTTATCCTCATATTGTGCCGTCACCTATCCTGTTTCTTCCTGTCTTTGCTTATTTGACAATAGAGATCCACATTGTCTCTCTTTCCTCTTTGTATTAAAGTTTCACGATGATCCTCAATTTCTTCAAATTATGGTTCTTAAACTCATGGCTATGCTCCCTCTTGCTTCGAACTTTACCTCTTATTCGTCTTCCAAGCATCTCCAAATCCAAGCTCCTACTTCAACGTGAAGATATGAAATTCATGTTTTAGAGCCAGTGTGTGGTTTGTCCCTTCTGGACTATTGTAAAAAACACGGAGGCTCAACATGGCAGCCTCCACGATAGGGGATCCACTCCTATATAGATATAAAAGGCTCATTCTAAGTTAAAGATTAACATTGTTATGCATACTATAGCCAATTTCTGCTGATAAATCCTAGATTTTACACACTGCACCTAGAGATGATTGAAATGTTATGATTGAAACTGAAAGCCTCTCCTCTGTTGTTTGCAGAGAGGCCGGGTGGAGGAGGTGGTAGTCAGTGATGTGTGCAGGGGGAAGCAGCTGGGCAAACTGTGAGTAGACCTTTGTGAGCCTGACACAGAGACTTAGACCTGTTGCCCATAATCTTCACAGACATGAAAATTATTCATTTAAGAGGCTTGTTCAGGAAATACTGTGATTTGCACTGGTTTCTTATTTGACCTGTTTTTCTCTGTCCCTGTAGGTTAGTTTCAACTCTTACTCTTCTCAGCAAAAAACTCAACTGCTATAAAATCACTTTGGAATGTGCACCCCGAAATGTGGCTTTCTATCAAAAGTTTGGCTACATCGCTTCAGAAGAGACCTACATGCAGTGTCGATTTTTAGACTGAGGACAACAGCAGCTTACTGCATCTCTTCTGGGGACATGGACCATTGCTTGTACACACACTTGCATCAGAACATGCAATGACAAAACGCCTTAAAAGCCAGGGGAGTTGCCAGAGGAAAATTTTTTGGTTGTGTAGTGGAGCTGTTTCTGAATACTCATCCTGATTACAGCACTCTTGATTGAACGTAAATGCATGTTGAAACCTTCAACGTCGTCCTCTGTCCCTCTGGTAACTCAGCAGGGTAAAACTCTGTCTGGAGAAAGGATTGTCATTTACTGTAAATGTAACAGTCGCATTGTGTTACAGTGCCAATAACTAATTTGATGTGTACACCTGCGAATAGCCTGCAGCTGTAAGGAAATACAACTGGGAAATGAAGATATGAAATTCAAATATTTCTGAAGCAGCTAACGAAGATAATTCACCACTGGCAACAGCTTCTCAACATCACTACAGAAACAAGGGTACATGAAGGATTTACTGTGGATCGTGATTCAAACCCAGTCTCATAAAGGGGCAGATCACCAAATAAAAGCAGCTTTATTTCTTTAAATGTGATTAATTACATCTTTAATAGGCTTTAGGTTTTACTTGGATTCCGTTTTTCTAATCTATCCTCTCAGTGCAAAGCGCTCTCTTCTATCTCTAATGGTGACGAAGGTTCGAACACTACATAAAACATCAAGTGAAGACTCAAGAAGTTAATCGAAGGTTGTTAGACTTTTGAATCTGGTTGATGTTCACAGCTGATTGAAACATTTTGTGATGGGAAATCGATACAAAAGATTTTTTTAAAATTAAGCTTTTGTAGTTAGGTTTTATAATTCTGTTCTGTGGAGAATGGGAACATATTTAATGTAATTTATTTGCAAATATAAAACAAACTATTCTATGATTTACAACATCTGCTTGTCTTTATTCCAACCTTAAATAAAAACCAGTTAGTCCTTCACAGACAACAGGTTCCTTAAAGCTCTGACAAACCAGCATTGTGGGGATGAAGCCTGAGAACCCCAGATGTGTTCTTCCAGCTTGACATGGAGTGAAATAAGAACATCAGTAGGCTTCTTCCAGAGAAAGGACTGTGGAAAACCCAGCCACATCTATAGTATTTTATATTAGCTTTAATGCAACTGACGTGACTACATTGCCATTACATATGTAAAAAAAGAAAACTGATTTCAGGCCCTTTCTGTTCCCAACACTCAGTACATGTTAGTGAACTAATGGGAGTGCATGTCCGTAGTTTTCTTTTTGTTATCCGATACACAGTGAGGTCTCTAGAGAGGTGGGTTAAAATAAAACCATTTCATGTCATGTTTCCGTAAAGACTTTGTCATAACCCAGCTTTGTGGCAGGAGTCGCCACAAAATATTCAGCAATAACCAGAGAATAAAAACATCAGAACAGGACAGACTTTTTATTAAGCAGCAAGTTAATTTCCATTCCTTACAATTACACTGTCTTATATTAGTCCATACTCCTATTACTCCCAAAATAAAGGCATTAACTAACCCTTTTCACATCTCCTCCACTGGGTGTCATCCCAGCTACTGCCCCCTTCTGGTCGTCCACACAAATTCAAGTATCGAAAGTGCATTATTGCAATACTGTCCTGCTGCAAATGCAAAATGCTTTAAATACTATAAAACTGCAAAAAATCTCCCATCAGTGCATACAGCTCAAGGAAAAAAAAACAAAAAAAGTCACCAACTTTGACCATCTCCCTTCAGTACTCCATTTCAGACATGAGCGGACCCCATGCCACTCTCGTCACTTCTCCATAGAAACTGGAGATATTTACATTTTAAATCCCAGTTAAAACAAAACAAAAATTATCCAATGATTTAGTGCACAGCACCGCACAGCTAAATGTCAGCAAAGCTCATCAGCTTATCTGTGCTGCTGTGACCTGCATTGCTCCAAAGTCTTCGTCTTCCTCCAGGCTGCGCTTACGGCTTCCTGGTAAAGAAATGAACAAAAAAAAAAAACAACTGAAACCACTGTGTGTGTGTGCGCGCACACACGCACACACACACACACACACACACACACAAGCATGTTCCCCCTTCATGACCTGGTGTGTCAGGTTCAAAAGCACATGCTCATGCAATTCAAAGTGCTTTTCAGTACACGGACAAAACAATATACAGTGGGTACGGAAAGTATTCAGACCCCCTTAAATTTTTCACTCTTTGTTATATTGCAGCCATATGCTAAAATCATTTAAGTTCATTTTTTTCCTCATCAATGTACACACAGCACCCCATATTGACAGAAAAACACAGAATTTGTGACATTTTTGCAGATTTATTAAAAAAGAAAAACTGAAATATCACATGGTCATAAGTATTCAGCCCCTTTGCTCAGTATTTAGTAGAAGCACCTTTTG